TCTCTGCCTCTGCTGCAGCAGCCCTTGTGCAGGCTCGCTCATGGGGTGGGCTGGTTGGGTGGGCAGGAGACACCTGTGCACTGCATTACAGGCCAGGTGCTGGCCATGTCACACTCAGGAAGCCACCTCGTCCTCCCTGCATCACCTCTAGGCCACGCAGGAAGGGCATAGGAGATCTGGTATTGGGGTGGGAGCAGGGTCCAGACCACTGATGCTACCTACCCACAAGAGGAACTTGAAAAATAGGTGGATGGCTCCCAGCTCCCTGTATAGGGGTCCTTCTCAGGGTGAGGCTGCTTGTGTTTTCGGAGCCCAGGTGAACTTGGGACTCGGCTGGGAGGGCTCAGCAGTTACTGGCTGAAGGGAAAGAACCCCTTGATGATGAGGGTCTCCCAACGCTATGCAGGGGTCGCAGCTGGTAGAACTGATGCAGAAACGTCTTGCTTTGGGGATTGACTGCTGTCAGCAGCATATCGTGTTGTCTGTGGGGCATCAGCATTGGCTTTTGCTGAATTTGCTTTGACTTTGCTGCCAGGAAGCAGGATTAGATTTGTGGCCAAGAAGGGGTAAGAGAGCGCCGCCTGGGTCCCTGCAGTGGCAAGGGCAGGGTGAGCCTAGAGGGTGTTTGCCAGCCTCACAGTGCAGAGTGCTGCTTTCTGACAGGCTCCACGAAGTCGGGCTCTGTGAGGCACACAGAGAATGAAGCAGTGGGGGAAGGCAGAGCTGTGGAGCAAGGCTCAGCTCAGACTGCTCCCCCTTGCTGTCAGGGTGGGAGGGAGGGGGCTGAATGGGACACATTGTGAGCCAGCATGTAGAGTGGCCTTGGCCCAGGAGTGCACAGCTAAATCTGTGGAACATGCCCTTTGCCCCAGGTCCCTGAGACTGCACCATCCCTGCATCTGCCCCTACCCTGGGCACCTGGCCTGGCTCTACCTGCCTGCTGCCCTGAGGAGGGGCAGTTTGGGAGATGTGAGGACAGAGAGAGTCTTGAGTGGTGGGCATGCCAGGAGCCAAGCTTAGAGTGCACCTGCCAGCCCGCCCTCGGCTCCTAGGTCTCCCTGCCATGCTGCAGCAGCAGAGGCAGTATGCATGGGGGCTTGGGCTGCTCCTTGTATTGGTCTCTAATAAAGAGGAAGCCACCAGGCAGGTCTCCTTCAGGGCCTGGGCCTCCATGTCAGGCCACCATCTCTGGGCTCTGACTCTGTGTCTCCTTTTCCCCAGCTCTACAACATCGCTGCACCATCTCGAAGTTTCAGAGACTTCAAAGTTCAGTTTATCCCCTTTCACTCAGACCTAGGCTACAGGCACAAGTACATCTACAAAAGCCCTGAGCTTCCACGGATACTGAGGTAAGACAGTTACTTCTTACCTAGGGACTTTGTTTGGGCAGCGGTGGCAGCTGTGGGAGCTGCTTAGGGGGCTCAGTGAAGCCAAAAATCACAGTGATTCAGGAGCCTTCTCTTTTCATTGCAGAGGGGTTTGAGAGTTTTTCTCCCTCCCTCCTGGACTGTTCCCCCATTCAGACAGGGCAGGTGATCTCCCTAGTTTGTACAGGCCCACATGGACCTGCACAGCGGAACACAGGCATGCATGTGCACTGTGCAGGCTCACAGGGGCCGCACATGTACAGGAGCGCTCAGACACTGATATCCCAGCCACTCCTGGGCCAGGGCCTAAGTCTACACACCTCTTGGGTCACTGCTCCTCAAAAGCTTTTGTCCACAGCTGCTTTTTGAAGGGAGGCTGTGTTCTTGGCAGCCCTACACTGGCCAGAATCTTGGGCAGGACATGGGCTGTAGCCCAGAGGGCCGTGAGCACCCATCTGAGCCTGGGTAGAGCCCATGTATAAAGGAGAGGCCTTGGCAGTGGTAGCAAAGGGCAGAGTTTGGAATGGACCAACACCCTCCCTCCCTCAGCTTCTATGCAAGCTGCTGCCCAACCTCACCTCCCCAGCAGAGGACACAGGCCCCACCCACCACCACCTGGCTGTGTGGCCTTGGGCAAGATGCTAAACCTCCCTGTGAGTGAGACACGGAGTCCCTTTCTCAGGCTTCTGAGCCCAGGAGAGCTTTGACCTGAGCACTGGGCTACATGGAGGCTATTTCTACTGTGTGTTTTGTGCCAGTAGGCTCTGAAAAGTAGGTCAAGATGCCAGTTTCTCCCTGTAAGTGACTGAAACTGGTTGCCTGAATCAACTCCCAATGAACTATATCCCATGTGTAATTCTAATTCAAACCAGCTTTTCTCCAGCTGCCTTTGAAAGTTCAAGGCAAACTGCATTTCTGGTAGAGGTTTGCCATTCTTTGCTACAGCGATGTGGGTTGCTAAGAGGGGACAGTGAGCTGAAAGAATGTGGGTTTGCTTTGGGGTTGCAGTTTACCCATTATAAACGGAATATGTTATAGGAAACTTAGAGCAGAGTAGTGCTCTCAAGTTTACAGTCAGGAACAGTAGCCCCTAACCTTGTCTTCATTCCTATTGCTGGGACCCGACTCTGTATGGATGCCCTTTACACTCTGCTTAACTATCTTCTGTGTGAGGGCAAGGCCCTTATGGGCTCCTCGCTGCCTCCTCAGACGGCTGTTTGGAGGCCGCTGAAGACAGGATCTTCCGTCCAAGTGCAAATGACGTGGCTCCTGATTGTTCCCATCTAGGGAATTCCTGGGGAAGTCGGAGCCCGAACACCAGCACTGAGTGTGGCTGTGGGAAGGAAGCATGAAGACCTCTGCCCTCCTCTCTTCTTTCTCTGGTCAGCAGCTCGGCACCCTGGAGCCCCAGGGGTGCCAGCACCTGTGATGCTCAGGAGCCCAGCTCGCACCTGGAGAGAGGACTCAGATGCCAGCCGGGCAGGTGGAGACGGCCCCAGCAGACCTGTGGTGCTGGTGGCCTGGCATGGCCCTGTGTGGAAAGCCCAGGTGGCGGGCATGTGGCCCCCTCTCCCTCTTGCTGCCACTCAATCTGAGCTCTCGTTGGGGAGACTTAGTGACAGAGCAGCCGGCCAGTCACCTGGTCGATCCCGTACTACCTGAGCTGGACATGGGGAACCCCTGCAGGGCACACGGGGCTTGGGACCACAGTGAGCTTTCCGCCACCACCCACAGAGGATGGGGAGGGCAGGTTCCTTCTGTCCCTTCTGGGCACATGCAGAATGGACTCTAGTGGTTCGACTGTCCCCTCCTGCCCTGCATACCTGCTTGCCTTCCTCGGCCACCCCGCCTCCCCTGGGCTGGCCCGGGATCTGCACTTCCTCCTATTCTGCCCACCTGTCCACCTCACCTGGCCTTAGGCTGAGCATTTATTTAAGAATAAAATCGTGGTGGTGGTCTGTTTGTCTTGTTCTCTGCAAAGTAAGGGTCAGTGATGTCTGGTTCCCCACCTGCCCAGTGTCCCTGGCTGCTGTGGAGCCACTTGGGACTCTGGGGCCTGGGTCAGCTGATTTTCCAGTCCTGGAAGCTGAGAAATTCAGCGGTGGTAGGGAGATCTTGTGCACCTGCCTGGCTGTTCTCCAAGGTCTTAGCCCCAGCATTAGTAGCATGGATGGCTAGGGGAGTGGGGGGGCTCTGAGGCTGGCACAGGTCACCTCCTCTCCTTTCTGAGGCACTTAGAGCTACCTACAGTGATTCTCAGATCTAGAAAACACCTTTCCTATACTAGGGCTGAAAGATAAGTGGACTCTCCTCCTGGCCAGGGTCTGCCCCACGTCCTGGCATCTAATTAGGGCACATCAGTTTTCTGCTGCCTCTGCCCTCAGTAGCTCAGCTGTGGATGGTCCAGGACAGTGTGAGGAATACCGCACACATCCCTGGGCTCAGTCTCTGCATGGCTGTCAGAACTGGGGACAGGGTACCCCCCGTACCCTCCCCCATAGCCTCTATTGTGTAACTGGCCTATGTTCTAGGCCTCAGAAGTCACAAGACTAGGCAACCCCTCTCTGAAACAGTGCTCTCGAGTGCAGACCGGACGGCAGCTTTCCTGGCTCTGTCACGCACTGTGGTCCTGACAACTAAACAGAGGTGACTTGCTCTGCCTGGGCTGTCATCTTTTCTTTCCCCTTTTTGTGTATGTAAGCTACCTCAGATTCTCTGTTGGAGGAATGAGGCAGGATATGATAAAAATTTAACATTGAAAATAAGAAACAAGAAGGGTGTGTGGAGCTGCAGCTGCTCTGGCACCATCTGTCAGGAGTTATGTCCAAGGGCCCCACCTGGTGGCTGCTTAGCTTATAACCTTGGCCTGAGCAACTGAGCTTTTAACTCTGGGTTTAGACCCTTTGATGGGTTGCAAGATCAATCTGTGATTAGAACCAGTTCTTAGAAAAAGGCAGCCCTGGGATATGTGGACTCTAAGGTAAGACGTGTCCTGGGAGCTCTAGGATAGGGCCCCACAGACCCTGGGGAAGCATGGACCCCGGGTGCTATCCTGGTGCTCCCACAAGGCAAACGGTGGGTGCGTGGGGATGTGAGGATGCGAGTTCAGCCTCGCAGTGCCAGCTCCTGCACAACCTGTCAGGTGCCGAGGCCAGGAGGTCCACAGCGCTCCAGCATCCTGCAGTTCTTGGGTTGAGTAACACGGAGCCATGAATTCATTACCCTCCTGATTTTTTTAGTCTGCAGCTATACAATTTAGGGGGGATGTTTGGGCCCAAGGCTAGGAGTGGGTGGCAGGAGCAGCAGGTGTGAAAAGGGACCACTGTAATTCACAACAGAAATGTGAACACTTTCTTTTTATCCCCAGATGGTACCATTTGCCACATGGCTGGATTTGATGATTTTTTAACACTTGGCTGTTCAGGCACACATGGCTCAGTTCCACACGCAGTGGGGATCAGAACTGACTTTCGGTCCTGAAATCCAGAACAATAGGCCGTAATTTAGTCCAGGCCTCATCCTTGTGTGGGCACCATCCTGGGCCTCAGGCCTGAGGCCTGTGTCTGCTGCTTCCTGTAGGAGCCTTGCAGCGAGCGCAGTGTGCAGGGAGTGAAACACAGACCGCACAGCAACTGACTATGGGCATAAAGGTTTAATCAGTTTCTCATATGAGGCAGTAGCAGCGAGTGGTACAGTGGTGGTCACCCACAGCCAGCTAGGGGAGTGCAGCCTCACACATGGAGCCGCCACATGGGATAGCAGATGTTGCCGGGGCATGACCATAGCCCCAGAACTTGCCCCTATTCAAGGGAAGACCCCAGTGGCTCTGGTAGGCTGTGCACCGTGAACAAATGCCCCTCAACAAGACTACAGGCCTGGGGGTAAAGGAAGAGCCTCCCTGTGCAACCCAGACCCAGCATGCAAGGTGATGGAAGCCTCTGGAACGGTGATGCCGCCTGATTTCCCCAACAACGGTACAGTGAAGGCAGCAGCCTGCTCCCTGCCCTCTCCTTTGGGCAGTACTAGGCAGGTCTTCCCTGGAGTGTCAGCCTTGGGGAGGGGCAAGGCTGTGAAGGGCTCCCCCTTATCTCCCAGACCGTGGCCTACTGTCCAAGCAGAGTGGAAACTAGGTTCCTCTGGACCCAATTGGCCCTTATGTGCACAGCAGGATATGTACCCCAGGACACGGCAGGAGTCACAGGAAGGGCACGGGTCTGCAGCAGGGACAGCAGCCCTGCCCCAGGTTCCAGGGCAGGACAGCAGCTGACCCATCTCTAGCCAGGCAAAAACATCCACAGCAGGAATCCCTAGATACAAAACTGACCAAAACAAATTTTAGTTGCTAAAACAAAACACTTCAGCTAGTTTCATTTCCTTGTGATGTTATTTTTTCTTTTGAATAAGCAAAACCAAGCTAACCTGTATCAGCTAGACTTGCCCGTCCTAACCACAGCCTCTGAGAACCCAGACACAAGTACCTTCCCTAACATCTGCCCACCCCAGTCCTCCTGGGTCTAAGCGCCTACACAGTACCCAGGATGGCTACAAAGGGCAGGCTCTATCTGGGTCCTTGTCCCACATATCAGATGCAGAGGGCAGGCAGCTGTGAAGATGATGCCTGGAAGCTCTGAGCCCTGCCACCCCAGCATGGCTAGGAGGCAGAGCTAGGCAGGGAGGACCGGGCCATACTGGGCTTGGCCCTGCCCTGTGGCTGGCAGCCCAGGTGCTGCAGAAACACATCCCCAGGCTTCATCATGACCACCTATCCAGACCCCAGAATCCAGAGGCTCAAAACTAAAGCTCACAGCAAGATGCGTGCAAGGTTTTGGGGGAGCCCAGCGGGCAGCTCCACCTTCCACCCACCCTGTATGGGGCAAGTGGGCTGAAGCTGCAGGGACCAGCTGTGGCTGTCCACACTCTGCTTTCCTTTGCAGGAAGCTGAGACATCACTCCTAGCACCTACCTTCCTTGCCCCGCTCCCTCAAAACCACCCCCTCGACCCCCATGGTCCCTCCTGGAAACACAGCACTGAGAAAGCAGGGGCCGCCAGCTGCTGGCAAAGTGCTTAAAAACCGGCATGAGGTGCAAAGTCAGCAAGAAAACAGAAGCCCGCTGGTCCCAAGTGAGCAGGACACCTAGTCCCTGGGGATGTTGGGGGGCGGGATCTGCAGGTCTGAGGGCTCCACGCCCCAGATGTCCCGGGCATATTCTGTGATGGTCCGGTCGCTGGAGAACTTGCCCGAGCAGGCGATGTTCCTGATGACCTTCTTGGTCCACTCCTTGGGGTTCTGCGGGGAAGGAGAAGCTGGTTCATCTCTGAGGGCTCCTAAGACACCGTGAGCTCCAAAACTACAGGGCTGTTCCCAGATGAGCTCTGAGCCCCAGGGCTCCCTGCTGGAAGAAGGGGACCCCCACGGGCCAGAAAAGCCGCCAAATAACTAAAGACAAGGGGCAAGGAGCCTAAGAGAAGGCCCCAGCTCTTTAAAAGCTCCATGTTATTTTAGGAAATGGCTCTCACTACCACTAAGTATCTGCCCTGGGTGATCCACTGCCCACAGGAAATGGCTTAGCACGCTCCTTTCAGCCAGGGCTTTGGTCGGTCATAGCGTTCTCCAGTGCCTCCCAGAGATCAGCCCAGACCCAGCAAAGGAAAATCTGCTCCCAGACCCCTGCCGGGCACTCAGCTTCAGGCCTCATATTCCTGTTCTTGGCCATGAGATGTTTCCTCAAGAGAGGGTGTGACAGGGACAGCTTTCCTAAAGGCAGGCAGGGCCGGCTCATGACAAATCAGAACACAAACCCCTCTGACCTAATCCAAGAACCTGCTTGAACAGTTTGGGAAATAAACAATCGGATTCAACAAGTCCACACAGACCAGCCCAGTTGCCCCCTCAGCCTCTGGGACCCGAAAGCCTTACCCGGTACAGCTGGTCCACCTGGGCCTGGCACTGCATATACGCTTCGTAGTCTGCAAACACCTTGAACCTGAAACAGGAGACAGGAGGCTGGGCCAGGGAGATGGGCAGCAGGGAACCCTGCCCGGAGCAGCCTGCCCAGTTGTCCTGAAGAGAGTCTACAGTGGGAGGTCAGGAACGGTCTTCCTGGCTCCAAGCAGGGCAGGGTGAAGGGACCCCCACTCAGCTCACTGGAGCCAGGCTATGTCCAGGCCCTTCTGGCCACAGGGTGTCTCTGTGAGCAACATTTATGTCCTGGGATGTTATTTTAGAAAAAATTCCAATTTTTTTAAAATCTATCTTAAAATTATTTCTGCAAAGACACCCTCAGCTGGGTAAACTGCAAAAAGCATTGATTTAAGTGATCACTGTGCCCAACACTGCCTCAAAGAAACTGGAGTTTACAGTGCACAATCCACACACAGGTCAGAGCTGCACATGCCACGAGGGTCCCGTGTAGACAGCTCCGGCTGACATCACCTCCAGGGGTGCCCGCTGGAGAACGCCGTCTCCATCTGCTGTCTACTCACAAGTCTATGTGGGAAGTGCCAAAATATGAAGTGGTGATTTGCAGTTCCTGATGTTCTGAACAAAAATGCAGGATTTATGAATTTACAAGTGTGCTTGTGTTTATTACGGAGTCAGAGCACATGTCATAAAATCCACAGTTCACAATTTGAAAGTCCCTCCTTCATCAGGGTCCAGATGCCAGCACGTGGTCACAATCTGGCCCGACTGAAGCCACTGCGTGACAGTCATCAAAGACCAACAGACAAAACTGACGCAAAGCAACTGAAAGTGGAAGAGAGGCTCATTCTCTCCCCAGATCCAGCTTTGACCAAGAGGATAAAGAACTGTGTTGGGCGCAGACGGCGCTGCCTACCTGCTATGCCTCAGCAAGCCTGACTCTAGATACGCCGTAGCCATGTGCTAACTACACTGTAAAAGAGCACTAACCACATTATAGTTTCACTGTCATGAGTTAAATCTATTTTAACCACTGTGTGTCACCTGCGCTGACACCTGCCATGGCTCCACAGCCCTCAACCCCCTCCCAGAGGTTCCCAGGCGTCCCCACCCCACACTCCCTCCCTGGCCTCCTTGGGACACAGCTGCCCCTGGACCTCCAACCAGCCTAGCTGACACCACCGCCCACCCAGGCTCATCAGGCTTGTCCAGGAGGCCATCCCCACCGCCAGGGCCCCCTGAGACACTGCCAGAGGCCATAGCAAACCCCAGCCCTGGTATAGCTGGGACGCTCCTGGCTGGCATCTGAGGCTGTGCCCAGCAAGGTCTCATGGGCTAGGTGAGAAGGTGTCTCAAAAGCACAGGATTCACCCTTTAAACAATGTGGAGTTTTCAATTCAGTAGGACCTGACTGTCCATCCCAGTTGTTGGAGACCTAGCAGCTGACCGGGGTTGGGGGCGGTGGCGAGCAGGAGGGAGAGGCTGGCCCCACCTGTCATGGTACATCAGCATGTTGACAACATCCTTGAAGCAGTCTGGCTCCCTGGGAGAAAAGAAGCCACTGCTGATCTGGTCCACGGCCTGCTTCAGCTCAGGCAAGCGGTCGTAGAACTCTCTGGCGTTGTACCTGCCGGGAGATGGGCCCAGGGTCAGTGGCTGGTGCCCCCAGGCAGGCAGCCTCAGGGGCAAGCAGCAGCCTCATGCGTGTCCAGCATAGCCCTTGCCCAAGGACAGGCCCCAAGCCTTGAGACCTCGTGGTCCAGGGCCCTTGGGCTGGGGCTGGCTTGAGTGTGCTGTCAGCATAAAATCAATTCCACCTGTTTCTTGAACTGTTAAAGAAATGTTACTAGCAGACATACAATGACACAAAGGCCTACGCAGTGTCCCTACTGGAGAGGTTGCTCAAGAACCTGCCTTACTCCAAGATCCTGGGCAGAGTGTCTACCTACAGAGGCTACCCTGAGGGTGGGGGCTGGGCCGGGGCCTCCGGCAGGGGAGGGAAGGAAGGAAGCCGGGAGGGATGAGGCAGGCCTGGGGAGTGGGGGAGGCACGCAGGGCCCCGACAGGCAAGAAGAGCCCGGAGAAGGGCACAGGAAGGGCGCCGAGCACGTGCACACTCTGACTGACAAGGCACAGCTTGGACTTTTAGGTGACCTTTGAGGTTTCACCCAAATGTGCCTAAGGCCTCTTCGACTCCCTAAGTGCTTTTAGGCAGTTAGACAACACTGTCTCTTCCTTTTAATCATCACTTGGAATCAGCCAGCAAGAAGCTCCTCAGGAAGGTCAAGGTCATGAAAAATACGGAAAGACTGAGAAGCTGTTGCAGACCCGACGAGGCCAGGGAGACCTGAAGACCAGACACAATGACGTGCCCTGGATGGGAGCCAGGGACAGAAAGGGACATCAGCAGAAAGCCTGGTGAACAGAACAGAGCACGGGTTGAGTGCACAACGCGCCATGCGGTTTGTTCATTCTGTCAATGCACCGTGCCGTGACGTAAGGAACCTGGGAGGAAGGCAGAGAGCTCCTGGTACTGTCTCTACAATTTTTCTGCAAACCTGAAATTATTCCAGAATAGTCACTATTTTAACTCTCTGTAACTACTACAAATCAGGCCAGGGAACCTTGACAGTGGGCAAGCCTCAAATCCCCAAATCGACTGAGTGCTCCGGGCAGCGAAGGTGCCCACACTGCCGCGGCCCCAGGTCTGTGGGGTACCTGCACTCTGGGCAGTGGTGTCCCTCTAGGAGACCCTTCCCCAGTGGTCACCCACAAAATCGAGGGCCTCTGCTGAGGAAGGAGCCCCAGTCTGGACCCCACAGACATGGCCGCGGAGTCACAGACAGGAGTGGCCAGGCTCCCACCCAAGCAAGCCTCTCCCCGTGCCCACAAAGTGAACGGGTACCCTGGCAAGCACATGGCTACTGGGCAGGCACTGACCCTGGCACACAAGGGCCTGGCCCCAAGAGCCCATCCCCACCCTCTGCCCCAGCCCAGCAGCCTTCAATCCACCCCCCGCACTGCCAGGTGCCCTGATGGCACAGGAGGGGTCGCACCCTTTCCGGTCCAGGGCCTCGACATCCTCCACCCGCAGGCCAAAGATGAAGAGGTTCTCAGCCCCGGCCTCCTCGGCCATCTCCACGTTGGCGCCGTCCATGGTGCCGATGGTGAGGGCCCCGTTGAGCATGAACTTCATGTTGCCTGTGCCCGAGGCCTCGGTGCCCGCGGTGGAGATCTGCTGCGACAGGTCGGCGGCCGGGATCACTGCGAGGGGAGCACAGGAGGCAGGTCAGCCCAGCTCCCCGACGCACACCCCCGCTGCAGTGACAGCGCACGACAGCACGTCCCCTCCTCCCAGCCAGAGAAACACAACCTGCCCCCACAGCAGGCGCCCCCAAAGCAGGGACCACCATCCTGAGGCTGCCAAGTCCACCAAGCAGGATGAGCCAGTCCCGGGCACTCCAGGGCCAGGGCGTCGTGAGCCCAGGTGGCTGCCCTGCTCCTACGCCTCCCCCCTACCCCCCCGTGGCCCACGCTGGACACTGCTACCGCCTTTGCAGGGCTCCCCTCCCTTACCTGGGCAGCCTGAGGCAGAGGGTCAAGAGGGAGACTCGAGAAGCCCCAGGTGGCAAGGGACCTTTGCACTGAAATCTTACAAGGACCAGGCCATGCCAAGTCTGGGGGGCCCATTCTGGCTTGCTGGTGACATTGTTCCCTTGATCCCCACTGTTCCCTTGATCCCCACAACACTGACATCCTCTCAAACAGCTCACGGGCCCCCTGGATTAATCCACACTCTCACGGGACCAGAGGACTGGGAAGGCCGAGAGCAACTTCCTCACATTCACCCGCACAGCGGTTACTCCGGGTGTGCACAGTGGGGACAAGTGGCCAGCCAGATGCAGCAGCCCCGTGCCTTCTCTCCATGACACTGCAGGCAGAAGGCAGTGCCTGTCCCTCAGGACTGGTCACACCGTGACCCAGGCACACCATGCTGGACACCCTGCACCAGGGCCCTCAGCTCGAGTTGCAGCTGCCGATGGCACCTCCATACCCAGCAATCATCAGAGCCTGGTGAGTAGGCTGGGCCTCTGGAGATCAAGGTCATGCCCAGTTGCTGGGACAGAGAAATAAAGGTAACTCCTGCCCTGGCAGCACAGCCGGGACGGTGGCAGTAAAGCTGCCAGGGAGAACTGGATGCCCTGATGCCAACTACATAGATGAGCGGGAGTCCGCTGGCCCCAAAATAAAGGTGAGGAGGGGGAGGCCCAGGCAGCAGAAACGCCAGTAAGATGCTTCAGTCAGAAGCAGGGAGGGACTAACCACACCACCAAAGTTCCTGGCCAACACTTGAGCCAAGCCTATGCCTCGAATCTTCCTCGAGGGCCCAGCAGGGAGGGGCAATGCTAGACACGGCAACCACACCACAGGGATGGTGCTCACGGGCCAGAGCTCACAGGCAAACAGCGAATGAGCCTGCAGGTCATCGCCGTGACAAAGCCTGGAGAGCAGCAGCTGTGTGGCCTCAGACACAGGCACCTGTGGAGGAGGGGACTCGAGAACCCCAGGCTCAGATTTCCCTCTACCTGGCAAATCACCGTCCTGCCAAGAAAGGCCCATCAGGCCACAACAATGTGCTCCAAGGCACAGAGTGGCACATGTCTCCCCAGAACTAGCCCATGGTGGGGTGGCCCAGACTAAACCTGCTGTGCTGGGCCCTGAGCCACCCTCAGAAAGCACAAAAGAGGCCGGCGCTGGCCACACGGGAACCAAGACTGCACCTGGCGAGCAGACAGGGTGCTGGGCAGGAGCATCTTGGGTGGTGGGGTGCACATCACCACTGGCCAGGTACACGTCCTGCCCACAAGAGGTGCCCAGGGGCAGCAAGGGGCAGCGAGGCCCAGTGAGGCAGGAGGAGAGAGAGGAAGGCAGGCGACACTGGCCAGGGCAGGTGCAAGAAGGCAGAGATCAAGGATGCTTGAGGCTGCAGAGGAATTCTACCCGCACCATGCAAAGGTGCCCCCCGGGCAGGCTGTCTACGCACGGTGCAGAGAAAGGCTGCCCAGGGCCCGTCGCTGCCAGCCTGGGGCCCGCTCCAGCCAGGACCAGCCGTCCAGGCAGCCCTGAGCCGGCTGGAGCAAGAAAGACCCAGGCCAGCCCTGCCTCCCACCCCATCCCCGGGCAGGAGCAGGTTTTCTGCTCCACACAGGCTTCCAGGGCTACCTTTCTCAGCCAAGGACACCCGGTAGTTCTCCAGGAAGATCACTTTGAGCCTGTCGCCCACAACTGGATCATGATTGACAACGTCGCCAATAGACGTGACCAACTTGATGATCATCTTGGCCATGTGGTAACCAGGAGCTGCCTGGAGTGGGGAGCAGAGAGTTAAGGCTTCGGGTATGAAAACACTTTGCCCAGGGTCCCCGGAGGCTCCAGTGGCCCTCCTGGTCACTGGGGTCCGCAAGGGGGTGAGCCCAGAGCCAGAGATCACACTGGGCCGTGCAGCCCCACCGAGGGAAGGGCCTGGCACTGGCCCCAAGCACTCCTCGTGGTGGTCACGTCATGCATGTCTAGAAATGTGTCAACCTCATGTTTAATTCTCTGATTCTAGTCGGTTTTTCAAACATTATAAGATAAAACAAACAAGGACTTCCTACAGCCATGACTTGGAGGAGACAGAAAACGAAGGAACACACCAGAGGGACGCAGCCAGACAAAGCCAGGCCGGGGAAGACTAATAACCCACCTTTCGTAACAAACAAACTGCAAAGAACAAAGCAGGGAGGCGTGAAAGGAAACTACAGATGCAGAGACTGAGAGACGGATCGCCCAATCTCGACGCGAGAACCCTGCTGGGCCCTGATTCGCACCCACTGTTAGGAACATCTGAAACTTTAATCAGACAACTGGGGCCGGGCTGAGTGGACATTTCACGACACACAGGACTCCTGTCCAGCGTTCTGGGCGTGACGACGGTTTACCACGTGCTGATGTTTCAAGGACTCTATCTCTTGTGGCTCCGGAGGAACACATCATTTCATGAAGTGTTTAGGGTGAAGCGTCAGACCGGAATTTGCTCTGCAGTCTGCAGCATAGGTTTATGGATTTTCTACAGTCCCTCTGACTTTCTTTAGGTTTCAAATTTTTCATAACGTTTAAAACTTTTTTTAGTTCTAGTCCATAGATATATGGACTTTACATACAGAAATACTGACAGACAAAATGACATGGCTGTCCAAAATTTGCTTCAAAAATATTACTAGCAGGTGACAGGGGAGGGGGCAGAAACAAGGTGGCCCTGACGGGGCTGAGCCCGCGGGTGTCCTCACGAGCCCCCGGCCACCTCTGCACATGCCAAGGGCAGGAGGGGCGGCCTCCCAGGCCAATGCCCTCGGCGCGGAGGGCTGGGGCCGCTCTCCAGTCTGGACTCACTTTGAGCCGCGGCTCCAGGAAGCCCTCGTGAGGACGCTGCACCCCACAGCGGCCTACCTTCCCTGAGGAAGACCAGGCTACTGGGCACAATGGCGGGAGGTGGGATCGCCAGCCCAGAGGGGCGAGTGTGATGATGTGACGCGGGTAGCGGGTGTAGTACCCCACAAGTATGGGTCACAATAAATGAAACACAATGGCACCAAGCTAAGCTGGGGTGGGCTCAGGTGATCAGTGGGGCAGCCACAGCCACCCCCGCCCACTCGGGCACAGAGCACCAAGAAACCCTGTGGGTGCACAGAGGAGGCACCGCAGCCTCCGATGGGGACTGGCCCTTGGGGCTGGGGGCCGTTGCCCCTGTGAGCTGGGCAGGCGGTTCCCATCCACCTCCCCCCTCTGCCTCTGGCTGTGAAGGGTCCCTTGGCCCGACAAGTGACCATGGGGCCGGCTACTGCTGGTATTCTGTGTGCTCACCGGCCCGGGCTGCCTGTGGGGTCCCGCCTGCAGGGTGGGGGGTCCCGAGGAGACGCGGTGGCTCCTCAGGAAGCCAGCAGGTGGTTCCCCCGCAGTCCCTGGGCCAAATAGCAAAAAAAGGAGCAAAGAGGAAGTCACCTCACCTTGCCCCCAATCATAACAGTCCTGGGCACAAAGGCCTTGGCCGGGTCTTTCTTTATTCCTGCGGGACAAACAGAAGAGATCACGTGAGGCAAACGAGCCAGACACAGCCCCACCCTGCACTCGGGGACCTAGAGCTTCCAGGTTTGGCTGCATGTTCGCTTGGGTGTGAGCAACACAGGCCACCGGCCCAGGAGCCTGCCACTTCCAGGGACGAGGCCACCCTGAGGTCTGCCAGCCATGACCCTTGACGAGCTGTGCAGCCGCCCTGAGCAAAGACACCCTCCTCAACGGCTCGCAGGAAAAGCTGCACCTGCTTCCAGAAAAGCCAAACCCCGGAGCCTCTTTGGGTCTGCTCAAGGCCCCTGTACGTGAAGGGCACTTTTGTGTTTTTAAACCATGTTTTCAACACACAGTTTTGGTGACACAGAAAGAATGACGTGACCTCAGTATTGTGGTTGTGACACCATTAGCCCACAAGGGTCTCTGGGCGAGACCCCAAGCCTCCCCCTGCCTGGCTGGGACGTGGGAAAGTTCCCTGACAGGAGTGGACGGGAATGTCCACGACAGCCCGGCACACAGATCGGCCGCCTGCAGATTTCGGGGAGATGCTACATGAGCAGACGACAGCCCGGCACACGGGTCGGCCGCCTGCAGATTTCGGGTAGATGCTACATGAGCAGACGACAGCCCGGCACACGGGTCAGCCGCCTGCAGATTTCGGGGAGATGCTGCACGAGCAGACGAGAGGCAGCCCTAGACAGCCGACAAGCTGGGACCGCCCAGGGCAGCAGGGAGTCGGGCCGTTTTAACATCTGGCTTCAGGTTGGGGAGGAACGTGGCCGTCCCTCAGTTCTCAATCTTCCCTTCTGGAGATGAGAACAACATGGAGAACAGCAAAAACTGAAACCACAAGTGACAACGTCACCAAACTAGGAAGGGGGAAACCACGCACGCAGTCATCATCCAGTGACTCCTTGCCAGGTTACGGGCACGTAGGGGGACCTGGCCCCCGAAGGTTCTGAGGGGCTCGAGGGAGCCCAGAGAGATGGTCGGCAGGCCAGGCCAGCAGCCTCCTACACAGGGACCCGGGCAGGCGGTCTGGAGAGACAGAGGAGACACGCCGCAGGGAGGAGCCAGGGGCTAGGAAACGCTGGCCCAGCGGGAGAGCCGGGAGCCGGGCTGCCCTGGAGCCCCGCACACTCAGTGTGTGGCCAGGCACACAGAAAGGGGAAGGCACCGGCTCAGAACGAAAGCCAGGACGCCAAAAGCCTAGACCTGGGGAGATGAGACCGGCACGGGAGAGGAGCAGCAGCACGGCATGGGAAACAAGAGCAGCCGGCAGGGGAGGGGACGAGAGAAAACAAACACAACAGGGCAAGGAGGACTTAAAAAATATTCGGCAAGAAGTTGATACCAAGAAGACAGATAGGTCAACAAAACCTACCACACACCTCACTGGAATCCCAGAAGAAAAAAACCAAAGCAACAAAACCAAGCAAATGTCTTAAACATATTTCAAGAAAACATCCAAGGTGGAAGGATCACTTGAGGTCAGGGGTTCGAGACCAGCCTGAGCAAGAGCGAGATCCATCTCTACCAAAAATAGAAAGAGATGCCGGATGTGGTGGCATGCACCTATAGTCCAGCTACTACGGAGGCTGAGAGGCAGGAGGATCACCTGAGCCCAGGAGTTTGAGGCTGCAATGAGCTGTGACGATGCCACTGCCCTCCAGCCTGGGCGACAGAGCGAGACTCTGTCTCAAACAAACAAATGAAAAAACACAAGAAAACATGCTAGCAGTAACACAATCCATCAACCTACTCAAAGAGCACCCTGAGTGTCAGCGAAAATGCCTCACGACAGTCAACACTGAGCTACATCGATGAGATGTCGTCACTTTTTTAAGAGACAGGATCTGACTCTGTCATCACAGCAAAGACGGAGCAGAGGCAGGCACACGGACACACCGAGGCGCGCGGGCGAACACCAGAGACGCCACTGCAACTGACGACAGCTAGGGGCCGGAGCGGACGGGAGGGAAGGCAGGACCAGCAACTCACTGCTGCTGACGAAGGGGACCCCTTGTGCAAGCAGGGGCTGGGGACACTACAGGGGGACGGGGGAGAAGCAGAATATCACAGCCACAGACAAAAACACGCCAAAGAAAAAAGACACCAGGGTTCCCAGGAACTACTGTGCAGCCAGGAAGTCCCAGGCCAAGCGAAGGCCTCCCTCGGCCCTGCACAGCCCGGGGCCCTCAGAGGCGCTGCCTCCGGCACCTGCCCTGTCCCCTGCGCGTCTCAAAAGCGCCCAGATCCCCCTCGCCTGACAGGGGCTTATTTGATGGGAGAGCTAATGTTCCTGGGAGGCGCTTTGTATCTTGAAAGAAGTATTTGGGGTTCCTTGGGTTGATAAAATATCCACTGTATTATATCAAAAAATTTTAAAAATCTACTTTTTCTTTAAGGTTTTACTATTTTGTTTATAAGCAAATGTTCATGCTGACCTTTAGGAGGACTTTGATTCGTGTTCGTTCTCATAATCAAATGTCCTTAAATAACTTAAGATGCATGTGCAAAATTTAACACATGTTTTGTATAATTATGCTTTAAATACCTCTAATAAGCGTAGTCTTTCCAAATAAGATAAAACTCATAGAGATAATAACTAAGCTTAAAATAAAAACCAGAGTGAACATGAAACCCAGCCTCGGAGTTCCGTGAAGTCCCGTGACTGCTCTAGGCCTCCGCTGCGGAATCGTGACCCCTCAGGCCTCTGGGTTCCCTGCTGGGTCAGGCCCTGGCTCGGAGCACACAGGGAAACACAGGGCTACTGCTTTAGACAAACGTGCCACGACACACGCATGCAGAGCTCACAGCCCCTGGCAGTGAGGAAGGCTGGGTCTGAGGACGAGCTGGTGGGAAGGGCCAGCCTTGTTCAAGGTCGTAGGGGGTAGCCGGGGCTGGGGGACACTCGGGGCCACACTAACGGTTGTACAGGGTGATGACGTGCAGGCAGTTGAGCAGCTGCCGCTTGTACTCGTGGATCCTCTTCACGTGCACGTCGAACATGGAGGATGGGTTGATCTTCACCTTGTACTCCTTCTCCAGGAGGGCCGAGAACTTCAGCTTGTTCTCCTGCCAGGGGGAAGGGGGCACACAGCTGCAGAGTTCTCGGGATCAGCCCCACCAGCTCCCAGGGGCCCATGACGCTCAGCTTCCTGAGAACATTCTGCCCAGCCAGGGACGCCGTGGGGAGGGGGCGGTGGGGTGCAGCGGCCAGAGCCAGGTGTGGCGACAGAGAAGGTGGACCCGCACCAGGAGTGGAGGAAAGAAACGAGAAGCCAGCCCAGAGAGCACACCTGGGCTAAGCGAACAGGGTGCGGGACAACGCGGCATGCGGCAGTGAGGGCAGCACCGGAGCCGGACGGTTTCAGAGATTACAACAAAGAGCTATTTCTGGGCCTCCGGGAGGTGCCCCCACAGCACAGCAGAGGGATGGATGGCTCGGCACCTGCCACGCCAGCTGTGCGGACAGCCCACCCTGCCACGCCAGCTGTGCGGACAGCCCACCCTGCCACGCCAGCTGTGTGGACAGCGCTCGCTCCCGCCGAGGTGTGGAAGGCTGCAGCGACCCGGCCCTGGTCTAGCCGACAGCTCGGGTGGCCCTACACAGCTCTCCAGGGGCAAAGAGGGCATCACGCTGGAATTGGCTTCTAGAGGCTTCCCTACAGAACTGCTGACCGTGGCAGCAGGTCAAGGTGTGGCCAGGGCTGGTCTGGGGGGTCTGCGCTTGCCCACCCACCAGCCGCATGACCAGAAAGCGGAGCGGGGTGGAGCAGGCAGGGCCACAGGCTGGCCCGCACTTGGGGCCTGGTGGGGGGCGTGGGCTATGGGCCTACCTGCTTGACCTTGGCCACGTCCCTGATGAAGGCCTCGTCACTGACCAACGGCAGCAGCTTCTTCAGTTGGCTCAGGTCAGTCAGGAAGCCCTCCCCGATTTTCTGGAGAACAGGGACGCGGTCCTGCTCACTGGGAGACTCTGCCCCCTGAGCAGGGCCCTCTGGCCGCCCGCCCTGCTCGCGTGTTGCCCACGCCTCCACTGTGCCCTGGGACCCGCGTGCCCCTCCAGACGGACACCTCGGGCCAGGCCACGTGGCCACCAGGGCAGCCCCTCCAGCCTCCCCGGTCAGAAGTGAGCACATTCCTCGGCGGCTCCCGCAGGGTGTCCTGGTCCCACCACGTAAACGCACGAGCCCCCTGCAGTCCCCAGGGCTCCTCCCGATGCCCTCCGCCTGCACGGCCACCACGCCTTCTCCTCACCGGGGCAGGTGGTCACGCCAAAGCCAGCACCTGTCCCGCTGAGGCTCCCTGTGCGGCCCTGCAAACGCTCGGCCACCTCCCTGCCTCTCCTCACCCGCCAGCCACGGCTGCACAGAAGCCACGAGGCCTTCCAGGTCCCGGGGCCCGTCCTCAGGCACAGGCATCGCACCAGATCTGTCCCCAGAGCGCTGCTCGCTCCCGGGCCTGCGCAGACCTCAGCCTTCTCAGGGCAGCCTTCCCTGACCACAGGCCCCAGGCGGGCAGGCCCTCCCGGCTCCGCCCGCCCGGCCCCGGCTGTGGCCTTGCCTCCAGCACGCGGGCGGCATCCGAGAGCGCTCGCGTGAACACACGTGCGAGAGCACACGCGTGAACAGCAAGCAGGCCGCGTCTCCGGCCGACAGTCCCGGTACTGTCCAACCGCTGGCCGCACCCCAGCCCTTCCTGACGCCTGGCCAGTTTCTGAACCTGCACACGGGGCTGCCAGGTCTGCTGACCGACTGTCCAGGGGCCTCACCCGTCTTGGCCAGGAGCCCCTGCAGGTTCCCATGTTAAGGACCTGCCAGCTCAGCAAGGGCCTGATGTCACTGCCCAGTGGCAGCTGAGCCGGTAACGGCCCACGGCCTCCAGGCCCCGAGCTCACCTCCACGATGACGTCCGCCAGCCCGGGGTTGCACAGCAGCAGCCACCGTCGGGGAGTGATGCCATTCGTCTTGTTCTGGAACTTCTCGGGCTCCAGCTCGTAGAAATCCTTAAACTACAAACAAAATGGGGAACTGTATCAAATGCTGTGTTTTGAACCAGGTGAACAAGAGAACCTAAGGATTTTTTTTTTTTGAGACAGAGTCTTACTTTGTTGCCCAGGCTAGAGTGAGTGCCGTGGCATCAGCCTAGCTCACAGCAACCTCAAACTCCTGTGCTCAAGCAATCCTCCTGCCTCAGCCTCCCGAGTAGCTGGGACTACAGGCATGCGCCACCATGCCCGGCTAATTTTTTGTATATGTATCTTTTTAGTTGGCCAATTAATTTCTTTCTATTTAGGGGTCTTGCTCTTGCTCAGGCTGGTTTGGAACTCCTGACCTCCAGCAAGCAATCCACCTGCCTTGGCCTCCCAGAGTGCTAGTATTACAGGCGTGAGCCACCGCGCCCGGCCCCTAAGGACTTTTTAAGGAAGTCCCCTGGGAGGTTCTGAAGCTCGCTGTTTCCGTTTTGTTTTCTGGAGAAAACAATTAGTGACACCATGCACTTCAGCAGCCACGACAGGGTGGCGTGCGCCTCCAGGCCCCCCCAGGCGGCTGCGTGGTTTGGTGCCAGCTATAACCTCACGGTGTCTCCACAGTGGTCAGTGTGAAAATAGGTGTCCAGGTGGGGACTGTACTGGCTTTAGAGCCTAAGAAACTGCCGTCAGTTTCTTCTTCTGTTAATTGGGGGAAACATCCAACTCAGAAGCTTGCTGTGGGATTAACACATGGTGCCCCTCGGCCCAGCACCAAGCACAACCCCCCATATGGACCAACTCAGTCTAAGGCCCCCAACTGTGGGTGCTGTCCATCTGGAGCTCACAGTAGCTGTTCAATAGGTGTCTGGCAAAAAATTTTAAAAAAGGAACTGCCAGATCACACCGCACATAAGAGAGGAACGGCAAGAAGAAGGTCTGAGCTGAGAGTCCCACCTGCCACCCAGCTGCAAGCCCAGCCTGCCGAGCCCCCGCCCACAGCCCTGCGCACTCAGCCAGTGGCGGGAGGACCAGGAAGGAGCAGGGAGCCTTGCCTGGACCCGAGATGGCAGGGAGCTCGTGCGAGCCACAGGTGACAAGGAGACAAAGCCTCTCCTCACGTGGCCCGGAGTCAGGGCTCACAGAGGCCCTTTGCTGGACAGTGGGCACACGAAATGGTGCCACCCTGGCACGGCTCGCCAGGTGGCTCCTAGGGAGGGTGGGGTGCGAGCGGCATGCCTCGGACACGGTGTGTGGCGGGTGGTTCTAGAGGCCCGCCCCGGCGCCGGGAGAGCGGGCCCTGGCTGGGGGAGCGCCTACTCACACAGACTGCTTCACGATCTCCGAGTGGATCCTCGCCACACCGTTGACGGCGTGGGACCCGATCACGCACAGGTGGGCCATGTTGATCCGCTTGCAGTCCCCTTCCTCGATCACAGACATCCTCCGCAGGCGGTCCACGTCCCCGGGAAACAGGGCAGCCACATGCTGGCGCAAAGACACAGAGCCTCGGTTGGGTGACGGGGCCCACGGTGAGCAGCCGACGGTCCACCACCAGCTGTGGGATGTTCTGCTGCCTCCAGGCAAAGTCCAAGGGCTGCTACAGCCAGACCTGCACGCAGGTGCCCCGGCCCCTGCACACACCCCAGACCCGCCTTGCAGGGGCCCGACTCCAGCAGGATGCTCACCTCCACGTGCCTCGGCCCAGGAAGGGCCCAACCCGGCCTAGGGACCACAAGGCTGCCAGGTCTGAGGAAGGGACCCCAAGGGGGAGGACACGCCACTCAACTCACGAGGAGGAAGCAGCTGCCCCCTGATCTGGGTGCAGTGCATTCAACCACATCACCATGGAGACAGCCACTTTCTCACCAAAAGGTGAAGAAGGCAACAGGCAACTACAGTTAAACCTGAATTCTAGGTTTTCCCATTCCTGTATCACTGTCCTCTCTGTAGGTCACACAGTGAAGGACAAACAGTGCTTTGTCCCTGAATCGCCAAAGTGCTGTGAGGACGCCCATGGGACAAAGAGCTCTGACAGTCTGGGAGCAGACACACCTAAACCGTGTTCTGACATGGGAGCATTTATAAAAAGACCTGACTCCATGACTCCCACATACACAGCAGGGGTCAGGTGTGGGGACCAGCGAACAGCTGGGGCCGGCCCCAGACCCCAGCACCCTCTGCTGGACAGAGGCTACTCTGTTTCGGGAGTGAAGCGCCTCCTCTCCACGCCTGGAGCCACCACCCCAGCAGCACAGCCCCGGCCGGCGACACTCACGTCCAGGTGCCGCTGGTTGATGGCGTAGATGATGTCCAGGTGCCGCGGCAGCAGCTTCTCGAACATGGACACGGGCCAGCGCTCCAAGGCCTCGGGCAGCACAGTGTGGTTGGTGTACGCACAGGTCTTCTTTGTGATCTCCCAGGCCTAGACCATTCAGAACATTCCAGAGTGCTTAGCACAGGCAGGTCTCCGGCCAGATGCCCAGGCGCGGTGAGCATCGAGGAGCACAGGCAGACGCAGCTCCCGCCAGGCAGGGCCACTGTCCCTTCTGCTCCCCGGGGCGAGTCCGCACCTCCTAGAGCCTGGGACGCGGCTCAGTGCTCTTGTTTTGCTGGCACAGCCCCTGCAAGGGTGACGCCCTGACCCGGAGCCTGATGCCATGTGACACCCAAGAATCACCTTCTCACTCTGCTTTCTGGACACTGTTTTTGCTGGTAAACCAAGGGGCGGCCAAGCAGTTTTGTATTTAATTTCCACTAAACGGCCCTGACAGCAAGGTGAGGAGGACACTGGCGGCTACATGGCCCTGCCCTGCCAGCCGGCACTGGGAACCGCAGCGGGCACAGCCTCACCGAGTGACCAGAGGACGGGCTCATGTTTCTATAAAATGGAGTAAAAAAAAAATTGTTTGATGGCTCCACATGTCAGTTTAGAAAGATCAGAAAGCTAGGTGCAGGGAACCCCACTACATTATAGGACCGACGGCCATGAGAACATGTTCAAAAACATGGCAAGTATGAGTTTCTTAAAACTTAACACTTCTGAGTTTTTGGGGCCAAACTTCAAGATGAGAAAACATACACGAGAAGCCTTAAGAAGTGTCAGAATCCCTTCTCTGTCCCTGGCACCCTGTCCCCACTGCTTCCTGTCCCACGGAACATCCGTCTCCTGGAACCAGACCCCTTCAGGACTCAAGCACCCCAGGGTGACGTCCACAGCTCTCCCAGGGCCAGGGGGAGGCTCCCAGCCCCCCCAGGTCGAGCTCAGCCACTCAAACCATGGTCCCGGGGACCGAGGCCTGCAGAGGGCACCGTCGTTCCTCCTGAGCACACACCTTGTCCCAGTCCACCTTCTCCACGTCCACCAGGATGCGCATGAGCTCAGGGATGGAGAGGGCGGGGTGGGTGTCGTTCAGCTGGATGGCCACCTGCAGTTCACACAGGGTCAAGTTCAGTGCCCGTCCTATATGTGCAGCCCTAGGTATGAAGGAGTCGGCCCAGCCTGTCCCTCCCCGAGGAGCCTGAAGAGCCCAGAGGGGACGGGGAGGAGTCGAGGGGACCTGGGGAGGAGTCGAGGGGACTTGGGGAGGAGTGGAGAGGGGACTTGGGGAGGAGTCAAGGGGACTTGGGGAGGAGTCAGGAGGGGACTTGGGGAGGAGTCGGGAGGACACAAGCAGCTCTGTGGCAGGTGTGGGAGGAGTTGCAGCACCAAGGCCCTCCCTGCTGGGTGCTGGGGCTTGCTCTCCGGTAGGCCGTGAAGGCTTTGTTTAAAATGACTGCACTTAGCCAGCCAAGCACATCTTTGTGACTTTGCCACAGGGGCCTTTTACAATGTCCCTTACTGCCTTGACTCCGGAGACAACCTGGTGGCCCTTGTCCCAAGAGGAGGGGCCCAAGTGGGGTCCCCGCCCAGGATGAGGAGACTCTGAAACAAGAGACACGTCCCGCCCCGCTCTTGCCCCTCCTGGGACAAGAGGAAGAAACCTCAGGAGCCTGAGAAAGCCCTGTCCGCCTGGCCCCGAGCCCACCCCCAGCCGCCACACACCTTGTCCGGGAACGTGTCAAAGCAGGTTCTCACTGGGTCCCGGCAGCCGAATTTGGAGGACTTGAAGCGGCGGATGATGTCCTGGAGGGTGGCGGCCACCACGAAGTACTCCTGCTTCAGCCGCAGCTCCTTCCCCTCAAAGAACTGCGGACACAGCTGGGGTGGGCTGGAGGGCACAGGCCGGGGGGCCTGGGGGTCCTACACATCTCACTGCCCACTTCCCGGGGCCGTTCTCATCCCCGCTGGGGCTCAGGTTGGCCACTGGGCTCAAGGGCATGGGCAGGTCTTCAGGGCCCACCTGTGCAGCTCATGTGGCCAGAGAGGGTCACACGGCCCATGATGGACCCAAAGTGTCTGGTCCGTCAGCAGGGGAGGCCAAGCATGGGAGGTGCAGGGCCAGAGTGCTTGCAAATCTCAGTCTCCCAAGTGCAGGCCTTTCCCCTGCACCTGCCTGAGGTCTCAGGGGAGGCGGCCACTTGGAGGGTCCCACTGTTACTAGCCTTTCGGCACCCAGGCCTTCGCTACCATGTGCACCACAGACACAATAAAAAGCGTGCACTTGGAAAAGTGCACAGCCCACTAAGATAGGCAAATTGCAAGGACTCTTGTCCGGCAACAGCAACAAAAAAGCCACCAGACACTAACTCCAGGTGACAACAGGGAACATGGCTGAGTCCATCATCTAGCAAGGGAGGGGGCATTAAAGACCTTTCAAAAGCCTCCAGGCATCACTACAAACAGGTGTTGCCGTCCCCACTGGACAGACGGGCCACCTAACTCTTGGGGAGGCAGTGTCACATGCTAGAAGAGCACACACGGGCTGGACCCGAGGTCTGACGGGCTCCAGCCTGGCCAGAGGAGTCGCCATGAGAGCAGACGGTGGGGGCGACAGGGGTGGCAGAGAAGCTCCTTAGGGCTGTTCTGAGGGACGGAAGGCCGAGAGGCTGAGGGACACAGGTGGCCTGGCTAGGCTTTCTCAGGGACGGCTGACCCCGCCCTTCCTGCCCTAGAGCAGTCCCACATGCGTTCACGGCCTCACCTCGCACACCCGCACTGCAGGAGGCCGCACAGGAGCCTCTGCCTGCCAGTGCGCCCAACGGGGGGGGGGGTGTGTGTGGCCTGCATGGGGCGACCCCATCAGCTACTCACGTTGTCGTTTGGATACAGGACTCTGGAGATGTTCTCCGCCAAGTTCCGATCCAGGACTGCCTCGATATAGTCTCCCACGTTGACTAGGAGAGACAGAGCCGAGTCAGCACACGCGTGTCGCCGCTGGGGACCCCGTGTGGCCACGCAACTGCTCAGCGGCTCACTTGAACGGGCCAAGGAAGAGCATTCCTGAGCACAGGGCACCTCCGTCCTTGGAGGGATATGGGGCTCCTCCTTCGCGTGCCCCCCACACAGCACACACCAGCCCCCTCACTCTTTCCTGGGGCTCGTGGTCAGCAGGAGCTGACCCCAGCAGCCCTGGGCCCTGGTGTCGGGCCCTCCCAGGCTGGCCCGCACTCTAGGGAGTGGCACCAGCTCACTCTTCAAGAGCACAGCACGCCCCAGAGAAGGGGCCGCGGTGCGGGTGTGGGTGTCCAGGTGAGCCATCACACGGACACCGGGAACGGACAGACAGGGAACGTACAGTCCTGTAGCTTGAAGTCGTTGGGCGCCTTGGCGGACCACAGCCTCATGGTGTTGACCGTGTTGTTCTTGTAGCCGGGCACCGGGGTGTCGTAGGGCATGGCAAGCACCACCTGGCCACAGGGACAGACGCTCAGGACTGAGTCGGCAGGGGACTCGCCTCTCCTCACCTGGGGCCCTGCTCACCCTGAGGCCCCGCCCCTTCTGTCCCGCACACTCACCCCCGTGCCAAGCACCTGGGTCCCTGCCCACACCGTCCCCATGCACGCCTGCGCATGGGGCTGCCTACTGTCTCGCCCGAAGACCCCTGCCCGGCCACACTGCCCAGGCTGCACCTGTCTTCTCGCTTCACCCTTTTCAGGGTCAGCCCAGTCTGCAGAACCCCCGGCCCGACTAACCTGCCCCATCTCACCCTCGGCCCTCACACTGCCTCCTGCTCACTCAACCCTCTGCTTTAGCAATTCCAGGACTCAGCTACGTTCTCCCAACAGACGACTCCTACTTCCCAGCTCCCTGCCCCACGTCTGCGGCAAGCATCCTTCTGTCGGGCACAGCGATTGCTGCCTGTGACGCTCCCAGAGCAGCCCCACAGAGCCCAGCTGTGTCCTCCCCACCCCAGGCTGGCACGCTCCCTGCTGACAGGCCGCACGGAGCCCATCCATCCAAAGGTCCCCTCTGCAGAGGCACCCAAACCTAAAGGTCACACGCGGCCCTCGGGCTCCCCTACAGGTGTTCCTACCCTCCGGCATGCTTATGGTTCCTAAGGGTGCAACTGTGCTGCTTTACAAACTCACAAAGGACTGCACGCTGGGGCCACCGGGATTAAAACCCCAGCCTCACCTTTCCCTCCTATCTCCTCACCGCTGCCCCGCACAGCCACATCCCTGCGAGCAACAAGTCCCCGGCAAAGCATCCCAGCACCCGTCCCCCAGCCCTGGTGCCAAGGCCTCCTCACACCCTGCCTGGAATGCCCAGGGGTCTCCTCTCCCACACTGACACCCACCTCCCATGGACATGCCTACAGCACTGGATCCCTTCCTCTCTCTGCTTTTGCAAGCTGATTACAACTTTTCATGGCATTTTTGGCCTGTGTGACATGGTTCCAGCTGCTCTAGCCCACGTATCCTACTTAAAACCACGTTTCAGAGGGGACGACGCTCTCTGCACGCCCGTGACTGCCTGCCTCTGGGCCTGCCTGTGCTCTCCCTGCTGCCACTGGGTGACCAAGCCCCACTGTCCCCACCTGGCCCTCCTGCGCGGGGGCTGCCCAAGGCTGGCGCCACACGCTGCCCAGCACTCTAGCTTCTCGCTGCTGGGACATGTGCCCAGGCCTCGCACACACGCCCGGGCTCTGACGGTGCCGACACAGTGAGAGACACCGGGAGGCAGAGCACGTGGGCAGTATGTCACATGCCCCAGGGAGACGGTGGGGAGCTGTGGGTGTCCACCCAGGGGTCCGTGCCCTCATCCCCATCAGATCGCTCTTCTGCTTGCCCCTAAACGGCAGCGTGTGCCACCTGCCTGAACACGCCTGGCTGTGGTTTCAGCCCCAGACAGCTCCTGCTACGCCACACGGTGCGGCTCCACACACCTGCGCCGTGGACAGCGTCTCCACTGTCTGGGCAGCCCCATCACAGCGAGGGAAATCAGACATAGGAGGAGAATAAAGCCTTCACTGGCTTTGGCGTCGAATGAAGTCTTCCAGGGAAGCAGCAACCCTCACACCCCAAAAGAAGTCAAGGTGACAACAAATGAGCCCTGGGTGGCCCCCTCACCCAGCCCCCGCCTGTCCTCGACGCCCCAGGCCTGGTACCTGCGTGTCCAGCCACTTCACGCCGTCGGGGGTGTGCTCCACGCGCCCATAGAAGTGCACAGGGAGCATGTACTCGGGCCGGGCCTTCTCCCAGGGGTTGCCATAGCGCAGCCAGTCGTCGGCCTCCTCCACCTGCAAAGGGCCGGCGGCGAGGGCACGCTCAGGAGATGTCCGCCCTGGACAGACCTCGCCGCCCAGCCTGTTCACCAGGTCAAGATCTCCACTTCCGGTCAAGCCCACGGGTTTAAAAATGACATTTAGGACTACTAAAGTCACAAACTTGTATGACATTCAGAAACACGCATCCAGATGCAAAGCCACTCAGAATCCCCTGAACTCAACACTGACACGTGCTGCACAGGAATACACCCTGAAAACCTCACGCTCAGTGAAAGAACCAGACACGTAAGGTCACGTGTCGTGTGATCCCACTGGTAGGAAACGTCCAGAACTGCGCACCCTGGGGCACAGGAAGCAGACCAGCGGCTGTCCTGGGCTCTGGTGTGACAGCAAAGGGGTGCAGGGCTTCTTTTGGGGTGATGAAAGCATTCTGGAGATAGTTAGTGGTGATGGTTACCCACCTCTGAATATACTTAAAACCCACTTTGTATCGAAATAAAGCTGTTATTAAAAAAACAATCCTGAGATTCTTCTCAAAGCCACTGCTTTGAAAGTGACACTATAAATCCGCAAGTGCTGGGGCCGAGCTGGCAGCGGGCAGTGGGTGCCCAGGACACACCGCAAGAAGACACACTGCTCCGCGAGCCCTTCCAGAAGCGGCTTATTTCCCAAAACCTGCACCAGGTGGCACCCAAGACCAGTAAACATGCAGACACCATTCCCATAAATAAAATTACAAGCAGCCCCTTGATCACCCCTGAGTAGAAGCGCTTGGCGGGGCTGCTCCACCACCACCCTCTGGGACTTTTGCTCTTGCAAGCAACGGAACAAGTGAATGTGGCACAGCGCTGCATGAAGGATTCCAAAGTCTAAATCAGGGGTCCTCAAACGTTTTAAACAGGCGGCCAGTTCACTGTCCCTCAGACCGTTGGAGGGCCGGACTATAGTTTAAAAAAAACTATGAACAAATTCCTATGCACACTGCACACGTCTTATTTTGAAGTAAAAAAACAAGCGGGCAAAAATATCCACATGTGGCCCATGGGCCGTAGTTTGAGGACGCCTGGTCTAAATGAACTATAACCAAAATGAGATCAAGTATATTTTCTTCAAATTAAACAAGCAACCCTAGTAGGATTCTTTGACGGATTTTCTTTTAACGGTCCTTACATAGCAGTAAAAAGTCGCCAGCGAGAGCATGTGGGCTCTTTTTTTCGGGAGGTGCCAGGGCTTCAACACGCACCTCCCACAGAACTCCCAGCAAGACTTTCTACGTCTGGTGACCAATCTGCCTTGACTTTCTGGTGGCATTTCCTCGTCTGTTGTGAGTTTCCCCAACACTACAGCCTAGCCACCTCTGCAGAGCAATTCTGGAAGTCATCTGCGAGCAGCAGCAGCTTCCCAAACATAAGAGGCAGCGAGCATCTCCCTTCTGGGGCCACACTCCCTGCCCCCTCAGCCAGGGTGCCTGGCCGGCTGGTTGAGGCCCAATCGGCCACATGTCACTGGCCAACCACTAACCACTGCCTGCGTTTATTTCTGACAACAGATTACGTGTTTGCTTTCTAGGCTGTTGAATGCACAAACACAGTGGAATGCATAAATCCCACGGATGCTGATGGAGACTTGTGACAACCACACAGACCCTGCAGCCCAAACCCCACCACACCCCTGATGACTCCACCGCCCATCACTAGCTTGTTCACTAAGACTGTGCTGCTCTGATGCTACCGGTCTCTTGATTCTAAGAGATTTGACCTGCTTTATCTGTGACTTTTAGGCCCCGAATGACATTATTTTTTTATTTTAGCGTATTATGGGAGTACAAGAGTTAAGGTTACATATGTTGCCCATGCCCCCCCTCTCCCCTCAAGTAAGAACTTCAAGCGTGTCCACCACCCCCCCATGACATTAAATAAACACAAGTGGAATATCATGACTTTGAAGTGCTGCAGGAGGGGAAACGGCTGGCCAAGGACAGTGAGGCTGCATTTTTAAGATTACACCCTCTTCACAGACATGGGCCTGACCACCTCACTTGGCTACAGGTTGATGCTTTAAAGTCGGCTCATTCTTCCCAAGGGCCACTGTCCTTTGCAGAGTCCAGCCTCTAACCCCAAGGACACCGTCCCCTCACTGGTGTCAGGGGGCCAAGGCAAAAGGTGGGAGTAACACCCACGGTAACTGCTCTTCTAACCACTCAAGGTCAATGTCTTTGAGGCTGAACCCTGAGAGCACCGTGCTCCTCACTCGTGTTCAGACACAGAAAACCAGTGGTGGTGGCCTCTCCCCTGGCCGCAGGAGGCCCAGTCTGGGGACCCCGTGAGGCCCAGCCCCGCCTGACTTGCGGTCACAGGCAGAGGCGGTTTGAGAGGAGCCCACACGGGGACCGGCCTTTCCGGGGCCACAGGGGGCTGCCGAGGGCCCGCCCTGCCTCGCCGTGCCGCCAACTGGCCTGCGCTCCCCAAGGCGTGTGAAGTACAAAAAGCCAAACTGAAAGTGCTGCCGCTTACTTCCTTGTGCGAACAAGAACCGGAAATCAGTGAAGAAACCAAATCTCACCCACCTGCCAGCCGTTGACAATCTTCTGGTTAAAAATCCCAAATTCATAGCGGATTCCATAGCCGTATGCGGCCAGGCCCAGGGTGGCCATCGAGTCAAGGAAACAGGCTGCAAAATCCAACCACAAATCAGACAGTCAGCAGAACCGGGGCGGCTGGGCCACCACCCATAGGGCACGAGGTGGGGATTCAGAGGAGGCCACAGCCAGCTTCAGGTTTCGAGGAAAACTGGGCCCCTCAGCCTCCCCTCCGCCCAGAAGACAGCAACACGGGGCTCCTCGGAGGCTGGGGGAGGATGGCGAAGCGCAAAGCCCTCGCCGCCCCTCTCGGTCAGCCCAGCCCAGGTCGAGGCCCCACGCTCTGCACGTTCCACTCAGGCCCCAGCGGCTCTGAAGGTAGGGACACATCACAGACCTGTCCCTACACGTCAGTGACGCAGGCGCAGCAGGGGGCTGGTGTGTCCATGTCACCACCGTCCATAACTACGCAAACACCCAAGCTCCCAAGTGCCACCAGGGGCCCGGGAGGGGCTGGCACATGCCACTGAACGGAGCCCTTTTCTTGAAAGACAAAACAATGACAACGCTTTCGGTAAAGATCCAGAAGGCAACCTTATTACATCTAAGGAGTAAAAAAAGGAAAAAAGAAAAAAAACCAACACAGAGAACAAGTAAACAAAATAGACGTCCGATCCAGCACACACGCAGATGCCTGCCGGGCGCCGTGTTGGGGGAAGGAGCGAGGGGGACCCACAGATGTCAGCCACAGGCTCTCGTTCTGGAAATTCTGTCTTGGGAGGGAAACGGACCACGCCAGGCTACGGCGGCTCAGTGCGGCCGAGCTGTCCGCGGGCGGGCCGGAACAGAGGGCGGCAGGGAGGGCTGAAGCAGCCCGCACCTCCCTGGTCCGTGAACCGTGACTAGAGAAGTCAAAGGACCTATAACACCCCTTCGGAAGCGAGTCTAAAAGCACAAGGTGGGAGGTGTGGCGACTGGCCGCCCCTGTGGCTGTCACGGTGCAGGGACGAAGGAGGCTGGAGCTTCCCTCGAGCTTAGGAAACCCGGTTCTGCATTCACTGAGAGAGGACCAAGTAGGAACATGGCACAAATCGGTCACATGTCCCGGGGCCGGGGTGTGGAGGGGACTGAAGACCTCTGCGGCCCAGCGCCCTGAGGGGCGCCAAGGACACAGAGCGTCCTGCTCTGTGAGAAAGCCCACCACAGCCCCTCACCAGGCCTCAGGGAGGAAAGGGAGTCACGGTGTGACAAGCCTGGTCCGAGCTTTGTAAATGACAGCACAACCCTGCATTTGAGAGAAAGCCGTAGAGGACACACGTGGCCTTCCACACTCACAGGTGGGGCAAATTTTATTTATTTATTTATTTTTGAGGTAGGGTCTTACTCTGTTGCCCAGACTGGAGTGCAGTAGTGTGATCCATAGCTCACTGCAACCTTGAACTCCTGGGCTCAAGCAATTCTCCCACCTCAGCCTCCCAAGTAGCTGGGACTACAGGTGTGTGCCACGCTTGGCTAATTTTTAAATGTTTTTGTAGAGACAGGGTCTTGCTATGTTGCCCAGCTGGTCTTGAACTCCTGGGCTCAAGCGATCCTCCCGCCTTGACCTCCTAAAGTGCTGTGATTATAGGCATGAGCCACTGGGCCCAACTGAATTTTTTCTTTATATAGATTCAAGTGCTATTTTGTTTGAAAGAAACATGTTACATTTATAATTTTTGGAGAATTTAACCTAAAATTTGAAAGCATAAGCACACCCTCCACACACAGATAAATTTTAGGGCATGAATTCCCTTTACAAAATGTCAACTCCCAAAAGGGTCACTGACATGAAGTGGCCAGGGGCCAGGCCACCAAATGAAATAAAATCTCACTGTGACCATTATTTCTACTTCTGTGTTTTTAACTTGGCTCCCTCTCTCCAAAAAGGCTGGTAAAAATACTTAAAACAGAAAATAATAGGGCTGGGCTCACACCCATAATCCGAACACTCTGGGAGGCCAAGGTGGGAGGATAGCTTGAGCCCAGGAGTTTGAGATCAGCCTGAGCAAGAGCAAGACCTCACGTCTAATAAAAACAGAAAAATCAGCCAGGCATGGTGGTGCACGCCTGTAGTCCCAGCTACTCAGGAGGCTGAGGCCTGAGGATCCCTTGAGCCCAGGAGTTTGAGGTTGCAGTGATGACACCACTGCACTCTAGCCCGGGCGACAGAGCAAGACTCCGTCTCAAAAAAAAAAAAGAAAAAAGAAAAAACAAATCCAGAAAACAATAACAAAACTGGGTATGTTCGCAAGGGAGTGATATCCCTGAAAGAAACAGCTCTACTCTTTCTGGGCAATCTGTTGACTGTATCAAAGCCAGAATGACTGCTATACGCACAGCTGTGTTCACAAGTCGTGTTTCTCTCCATCTGTCTTCTCCCAGTTACTGGCTTTTGGACCCTGGAAAGTGGCCAGCATTCTGGGAACCCGTTCCAGCACTAGCTTACCCAATGTAGGCAAGTTTGGTCTTCATGATAATTATGAAGCACCCTTTGTAGGAAAGAGAATGTATGTTTTCCTTAAAGATTTCAATCTTAAGAACACACTGGCCCATCTACGCTGAGGGAAGCCAATTTACTCCAACAGATCAGCGTCAGAAACATGCCTGACACTGGCTCACCACACAGCCACCAACCAAGCCGACAGGTCAGAGCAGCTCATCCTGGACAGGTGTGGGTTACCTGCCAGCCTGCCCAGGCCCCCGTTCCCCAGGCCAGCATCTTCTTCTATCTCCTCCAGTTCTTCCAAGTCCAACCCCAACTGCAAACAGAAACAGAGGCAGCATTTTAATATGACTTAATATTTTCCCTCAAATGATAAGAGTGAAAGACATTTAAGTCTTGCAAGCTTACACAAAAAGTTAGAGTCTGCTTTCCCTTACACTTGAAAATCCAATGTTAAAATTTGATGGTAACTCAATGCATGGAAATGAAAGTTTCCAATATTTCAAAAAACTGCTACGAGTTGACAGCCAAATTAAACGTGGTTTAAATAGCCAAAGGTATTTATTGACAGGTAATGAGCCTATTTACAGTGAACAAACTACAACATGTATCTTAAAAGTGAAACCAATGGTTTTAGTCATTCTCTAATTTCACACAATCTAATGTTATTTACATGACATTGTTTTAAACCAAAACCTAAAAGCACTTTTCCTGTGGTTATTCCAGTTGCAAACAATCTTGTAAAATAGATATAGCATGTTAAAAATTACACAGAAAGCAACCAAGTCACGACTCACACTAACTTAAGACCATTCCAGAATACAGACCTTGAGGCTCTCACTTAAGGTTTATGGATAAAGATTTCGTTAATCTGGCTTTAGTGTACAAACTTGGCAAACTGCTCACATTATCTGGATCAGTGGTTTTTAAACTTTTTGGTCTCAGGAAGACCCAAAGAGCTTTTGTTTACGTGAATTATATAGGTATCAATAGTTATCAAATTAGAAATTAAAATGCAGAATGTATTATTAATGTATACATATGAATTCATTTAAAAATAAATAATAAACCCATTACATGTTAACATAAACAAAGTTCAATGAAAAATAAACATATTTTTGAAAACAAAAAATATCTACTGAGAAGAACAGCAGTGTTTTCTATTTTTACAAATGCCTGTAACAGGTTTTCTACTCCACCGTTCAATCTGTTGTGATGTCACACATCACATTACCTCTGGACAACTCCACTGTACACTCGTGAGAGAACAAGACTGAAGAAAGTAAATAACCTTTTTTTTTTGAGACAGAGTCTCACTTTGTTGCCCAGCTAGAGTGCCATAACATCAGCCTAGCTCACAGCAACCTCAAACTCCTGGGCTCAAGCAATATTTCTGCCTCAGCCTCCAGAGTAGCTGGGACTACAGGCATGCGCCACCATGCCTGGCTAATTTTTTTCTGTGTATTTTTAGCTGTCTGATTAACTTCTTTCTATTTTTGGTAGAGACAGGGTCTCGCTCTAGCTCAGGCTGGTCATGAACTCCTGAGTTCAAACGATCCACCCGTCTCGGCCTCCCAGAGTGCGAGGATTATAGACGTTTCTCTCCTTTCTTATGTGATCTTTAATACGTTTTATAGTATAATATCATCTTTGTATCCCCCGTTCTCTTCTATTCCTATGGCTCTTTTTTTTTTCGAATGGGACGGGGGGGCCTCGTGGACACAGTTATTAACATGATATATAATACAATATGCATGTGTCTGTGTGAAAATAATAATGTCTCTATTGGTGATATAATATATGGTTTCTTTCCTCTCCTCTAATCCCTAGCTCTCTGGGGAGGCCGAGCTGCGGTGTGCGGATTGGCTCAAGGTCAGGGGATTCTTATTTCCTTCAGCCTGGAGTAAGAGGAGACCCCGTCTCTCACTCGATTAAATTAGAAAAGAAATTTAATTGGCCTAACTCATATATACAAAAAAAAAAAAAAAAATTAGCGGCATGGTGGCCGCGCATGTCCTGTGCAGCTCCCGAGGCTTACTTGGACGGCCTGACGGCAGGAGGATTGCCTGAGCCCAGGAGTTTGGAGGTTGCTGTGAGCTAGGCTAGGACGCCACGGCCACTCACTGCTAAGCCTGGGCAACAAGCGCAGACTCTGTCTCAAAAAAGAACGAAAAAAACAAAAAAAAAAACATCACAGCCATAAATGATTTAGTACACATTTAGTAAACTGAGTGATATTAACACACACAGTAATGCAATTCAGAGTAAAATTTCAAAATATTGTGACTTGAACTTAACTCCTAAAACAATTTCAAAAGACTATATTCCATTAAAAATATTTTGCCGGTACGGCGTGGTGGGGCGGTGCTGGCTCAGCCGGGCGGCGTGGCCGGGGGTAGGTCAGTAGGAACTTACAACGAGCACAAGGCTACCTGCTCCAATTAAAAATACCAGTTTAACTACAACACTTTCTAAACCTAACTGACCATAGAACCTCTTATTCATACTCTACTAAATTCTAGCCAGGTGCAGTGGCTCACGCCTGTAATCCTAGCACTCTGGGAGGCCAAGGCGGATGGATCATTTGAGCCTCCAAGATTCGAGACCAGCCTGAGCACACGAGTGAGGATCCTCTCCTCTAAAAAACATAGAATTAGCCGGACAACTAACAAACAACCAACGTAGACTATATATAGTAATACTTATTTTATATATTAGCAGGCAGGTGGCACATGCCTGTAGTCCCAGCTACTTGGGAGGCTTAGACAGAAGGATTGCTTGAACCCAGAAGTTTGAGGTTGCTGTGAGCTAGGCTGATGCCACGACACTCTAGCCCAGACAACAGAGTGAGACTCTTACCTTAAAACAAAACAAAACAAAACTCTATTAAATTCAGAAACCTACACTGAAGACAGGCTGAGAGTGGACATGGGGCAAGGGGTTTGGTTCCTTCATGTTTTTAGGTTGAATGTTGTAGGCACACTCACTCCAGTAGGGAAAATGTTGCCTTGATTTGGAGAGCATTAAAAAAAGACACAAAATGTAGCTAACTGACAGAAAGTCTGCAACTCTGCTAAAATGGTCTTCTAAACTGAAGATTAAAAAAAAAAAAAGGAGTACTATAGTACACTCAGAATAACCTTTTTCTCTTATTGAGATATAATTCATATACCATAAAATTCACTCTTTAAGAGTTACTTTCTCAACCATCACTACTATCTATTAATAATTTTGAACTTTATCACATCAAAAAGAAATCTGTACCCATTAGCAGTCACTCTCTGTTTTCCCCGGCCTCTGCCGATCACCTACCTACTATCTCTGTGGATTTTCCTATTCTGGACATTTCATGTAAATAGAGGCACACAACATGTGGCCTTTTGTAGCTGGCTTCTTTTAATGAACATAAATGTCTTCAAGGTTCATCCATGTTGTAGCATGTGTCAATTCTTCCTATCTTTTTATTTCTGTGCAGTATTCCAATGCATGGCTATAAACATTTGGACTGTTTCTACTTATGGCTGTTATGAAAAATGCTATGAAATTCATATATATATTTTGTGTAGACATGTCCATTTCTCTCATGCATATACCATAAAGAAGAACTGCTAGCTTATATGGTAAGTCTATGCTTAACTTTTTGAGTAACTGTCAATACTATTTTCCAAAGTGACTGTAACATTTTACAATTACCAGCAGTATATAAGAATTGCAATTTCTCTATATCCTCACCAACACTTGCTCTCTGTGTTTATTATAGCCTTTCTAGTGAGCATGAAGTAGTCTCTCACCGTAGTTTTGATTTACATTTTCCTGATAACTAATAATTTTGAGCATCTTTTCATGTTTGCTGGGCATTTGTATATCTTTTTGGAGAAATGTCTATTCAAGTCCTTTGCCCATTTTAAAATAGGGCTGTTTGTCTTTTCATTGTTTAGTTCTAGGAATTCTCTCCAAGTGTGTGTGTATGTAATTTATTTATATATATGCATGCTGGATACTAGATTATTATCAGACTTATGATTTACAAATATTTTCTCCCATTTTGTAGGTTCCTTTTTCACTTTTTTCATAGTTGATCACAAAAGTTATGTCCTGGAACCATTTCTTGAACATAGTATTCTTTCTCCACTGAATTGTCCTTGCACCCTTTTTCTTTTTAAAAATCAATTGACCGGCTGGGTGCGGTGGCTCACGCCTGTAATCCTAGCACTCTGGGAGGCCGAGGCGGACAGATTGCTCAAGGTCAGGAGTTCAAAACCAGCCCGAACAAGAGTGAGAACCTGTCTCTACTATAAATAGAAAGAAATTAATTGGCCAACTAATATATATAGAAAAAATTAGCCGAGCATGGTGGTGCATGCCTGTAGTCCCAGCTACTCGGGAGGCTGAGGCATTAGGATCACTTGAGCCCAGGAGTTTGAGGTTGCTGTGAGCTAGGCTGATGCCGAGGCACTCACTCTAGCCTGGGAAACAAAGCGAGACTCTGTCTCGAAAAAAAAAAAAATCAATTGACCATGTATGACACTAAACAACCAGGCGACAAAAGAATAAACAAGTGAGACTTCCTGAAAATTAAAAACTTTTGTGCGTCAAAGGACACTATCAACAGAGTAAAAAAGGTAACCCACAGAATGGGAGAAAATAATTGCAAATCACATATCTGATAAGGTATTAATATTTAGCATAAAGAGAGAACTCTTAAAATTCAACTAAAAAATAAACCTGATTCAAAAACGAGCAAAGGTGGCTCACGCCTGTAATCCTAGCTCTTGGGAGGCTGAGGCGGGCGGATTGCTCAAGGTCAGGAGTTCAAAACCAGCCTGAGCAAGAGTGAGACCCCGTCTCTACTATAAATAGAAAGAAATTAATTGGCCAACTGATATATATATAAAAAATTAGCCGGGCATGGTGGCGCATGCCTGTAGTCCCAGCTACCCGGGAGGCTGAGGCAGAAGGATCACTCGAGCCCAGGAGTTTGAGGTTGCTGTGAGCTAGGCTGACGCCATGGCACTCACTCTAGCCTGGGCAACAAAGCGAGACTCTGTCTCAAAAAAAACAAACAAAAAAAAAACGAGCAAAGGACTTGAAGAGGCTTTTCTCCAAAGAAGATACACGAGTGGCCAACAAGCACATGAAAACATGCTCAATATCATTAGTTATCAGGGAAATGCAAATCAAGACCACAGTGAGATACCACATCAAACCCATTAGATTGGCTGTCACCAAAAAACAGAAAATAATTGTTGGTGAGGATGCAGAGAAACTGGGACTCTTATACACTCCTGGTAGGAATGTAAAATGGTTCCTGCTGTAGAAAACAGTATGGTGATTCCTCAAAAAATTAAAAATAGAATTGCCATATGATCTAGCAATGTCACTTCTAGGTATATACTCCAAAGTTCTGAAAGTAGGGTATTAAAGAGACATTTGTATACCCATGTTCACATCAGCACTATTCATAACAGCCAAAAGGTAGAAGCAACCCAAGTGTCCACTGACAGATGAATAGACAGGCAAATTATGGTACATATACAATGGAATATTCTTATGCCTTAAAAAGCAATGAAGCCAGGTATGGTGGTACACACCTGTAATACCAGCTACTTGGGATGATGCAGTGGGAAAATCACTTGAGCCTGAGTTTGAGGCCAGCCTGGACAACATAGTGAGACCGTGTCTCAAAAAACAGGAATGAAGTACTGACATATGCTACAACATGGATGAAACTTCAAGACATTTTGCTAAGTGAAATAACCCAGTCACAAGAGGACAAATACGGCACACGTATGACTCCACTCATAGGAGGTACCTGGACTAGCCAAGTCATAGAGACAGAAAGTAGGATGGTGGCTGTCAGGGGTGGGGGAGTGGGGATGGAGAGTTACTATTTAATAATAGTAACACAGGACAGAGTTTTAGTTGGGATAGATGCCAGTTCTAGAGATGGATGGTGGTGATGGTTGCAGAACATAAGTGTATAATACTTAATACTACTAAACTGTACATTTAAAAATAGTTAAGTTGGTAATTTTTTTTTATGTTATGTGCATTTTACCAGGATTTTTTTAAATTGGGAAAAAAACCTAATTGACCATAAATGTGAGGATTTATTTCTGGAGTCTCAGTTTTATTCCACTGGTCTGTATGTCTGTCCTTGTGCCAGTACCACGCAGCCTTGAAGCCTGTTGCTTTGTATTAAGTTTTGAAACTGGGAAGTGTGAGTCCTCCAACTTTGCTCTTTTTCAAGATTATTTTGACTACTCCGGGTCCTTGCATTTCCACGTGGATTTTAGGATGAGTTTATCAATCTCTGCAAAGAAGCCAAATGGAATTCTGATGGGGACCGCACTGAGTCTGCATTTCAATCGGAAGAGCACCCCCATCTTAGTAACGTCAAGTCTACCACTCCGTTCACATGGGATGCCTCCATTTCTAGGTCTTCCTTAATTTCTTTCAAGTATGTTTGCTTTTAGAATACAAGTTTTGCATTTTTTGTTGTTAAATTATACCTCAATATTTTGCTCTTTTTGATGTTACTATTAAGTGAAATTGTTTTTTAATTTCATTTTGGAGTGTCCATTGCAGGTGACTTTTGTAGATTAATGCTATATCCTGCAACCTTGCTGAATTCTCCTTCATTAAATCTAGTATTAAACCTACTATTCTTTTAGTAGATTCCTTAGAGTTTTTCTAGATCATGTGTTCTGCAAATATAGTTTTACTTCTTTCTTTCTAATCTGGATGTCTTTTATTTCATTTTCTTGCCCAAATACCCTGGTTGGACCCTCCAGTATAATACTGAAAAGTAGAGAAAGCAGACATCCTTGGGACAAAGCAGTAGGTTAAACACAAGATGGGGACACAATCAGTCACATGCAGACTGCAGAAACTCCACAGGACAAATCCAGTTGCAACAAATACACTGCAAGGCAGAAAAATTTTAAAAAGGAGATATTTACAGATTAAAAGAGATTCAAAAGACCTATCAACCAAATACAACTTAGTTACTGAACATATGGTTAAAAAAAAAAAAACTATAAGGCAATCAGAGAAATTTTTATCCCGCCTAAAAAACTGATATTAAAGAATTACTGTCAATATTTTGGGAATAATGATGTAACTATTTTTAAGAGTCCCTATCTCTTAGAGATACCTACTGAAATATTTACAATTGAAATATCATGCTGCTTAAGGTTGGCTTCAACAGTCTAGGTGGGGTCCAAGTGAAACACACTGGCCATGATCTGGAGCTGATGACTGGGGAAGCCAGGGGATGGGTACATATGAGGTTCACTGTAACGATCCCTCAAGCTTTATATATACTTAACATTTTCTATAATGAAGACAGTTTGTGATGTGGCCTTGATAGCTAAGTCAGAACAGAGCTGCTGCTTCTGAAGCACTAGTTTTTAGTGTAAACTGCTTCTCTGAACAACTTTCTAGCCTTGTACAATACATTTGTACCAGGTTTTCTTTTCAGTGTTACATTTTAACGGGGGGCGGGGAGGAGGCCTGTTCAAGCCCTGCCTCACTGTTTTCTTCCCACCTGAAGTATCTGCCACAGCATCTTACGTCTAGCATGGCCCAGCAAACAAGGACCCAGAGACACTGAAGTTTCAGTCAGCATGCAAACCTTTCAAACACAAGACGAATAAGCTAAACTGTGGCCAGATGCAGAGGATCACACCTGTAATCCCAGCACTTTGGGAGGCCGAGGTGGGAGGATCGCTTGAGGCCAGGAGTTGGAGACCAGCCTGAGCAAGAGTGAGACCCCAGTTCTATAAAAAATTGGAAGAATTAGCAGGCATGGTGGTGTGCACCTGCAGTCCCAGCTACTTAGGAGGCTGAGGCAGGAAGATCGCTTGAGCCCAGGAGTTTGAGGCTGCAGTGAGCTATGATGCCATTGCACTCTAGCCAAAGGACAAAGCCAGACCTTGTCTCAAAAGAAAAAGCTAAACTGCAAGTGAAATATCACTTTTAAGAAAAAAATGAGTTGAGCCCAATCTTTCTCCCCTACTACAAAATCCCATTGTAGTAGTCCCTCTGAAAAAAGAAAAAAATAAATTAAAAAAAGAAAAAAATGTACAAGGTTTAAAACGATACATTCTTACCTGTATTTTCTGAGTTTCTATAATTAACACATTATTTACCCAATAAAATTATAAACATATTGCATATTTATGGTATACACATCCCCCAAAATCTTTACTATGTGATGTGTAAGAACTGTATAAAGAAAAAAATGTTTCAAAAATTAATGTGTGTTATACAAGTATAAAATCCACAGAAGATTCTGTACATTCTGTACTCCGTACAGACACATCTTAACGTTAATATACAGCGGACAGGACATAAATGACTGTCGCCTGCTAGGGTAACCCCCATCTTGGTAGGTGGTTTTGAGCATGAGATTCCTATCTGGGGGCGTGGCATTTCTGTTCCACGGGGCTGTACCACTCGAATTCTGTGCTTAGACGCTGCTCTTCGTGGTGTCCTTCAGGGGAGACAGGAGCCCAGTGACACTGAGCTGCCTTAGGCCACACTGGACTTACCCCAACAAAACCCAAACCCAACAAAGCAAAGGCGGTGGACGGACAGCTCTGCGAAGACCCCCGTGTGTGCGGAGGGGGGAGGGGCTGCAGGAGCACACCCTGGGGGAGCAGACAGAGCTGCAGCCAGCCACAGCTCTGCTCTCAGGCTGCAAAGAACTGTGAAAGGACTGAGTTCAAAGTGAACACTTCGTGAAGACTCCTAAGGAAAAGCAGTTTTTCTTCTAATTAGGGCAACTTTGTGGTAGGATGAGCTCAGGAGGTTATCGTAGGGGTTGGGGGAGAGAAACCCAAGGTGGGTTGCCTGCCTGAAAAAGGATTTAATAAGTAGAAATGGGATAATCAGAACCACTTTTGTGGTTTAGTGTTCTAAATCTGCCCCTGGGATGAGGTGGGGATGGGGGGAAATGGCTTCTAGAAACCTCCAAACCTGAGCATCACACTCAACCTAGCGTGGTACTCCATGTATTATCTTCCCACTCGTTCCTACTCTCTCCCTCGAGGAGGAGCCCCGCCACCCCACTCTCCTCCAAGAGGGGAGAGCAGCCCACAAGGCAGTTCCGTTCCCTGGCGGCTGCTGGTCTTCACAGCAGGGCTTACTTCTGGGACAGAACGCACAGAATTAAAACCTCAGTGCGCCCAAAGGCCACCAGCAGCCCAGCCCGAGGCCCCCGTACCTGATAAATAGCTTCGTCACAAGCATTCTGAAGCCCCAGGTTCACCATGGTGTTCTGCAGCGTGCGACCCATGTAGAATTCCAGGGAAAGGTAATAAATTCGCTGAGGAAGCAAAAGAAAGAATCTCAGATTTCTCATTCCATCCCCACACATCGGGAAGACCACGGTGACGAGGGGACTCACAAAGCACCCACTTAGGACTTTCACGCACGTTGACCATATGTGCAAAAACTGGGCACGCTCATCCCGGCCTGCGTCGCTGACCGGAGCCTCCCACGGCAGCCCACTCAGGGACGCCCTCCCAAAGCACAGCACTCTCTTCCCTGACCTTCTTCAGTCCCCAGGTGAGTAGAAACTAACCTTCCCTGACGTGTGGGGCGCAGGTCACCTCAGTGGTTGGGAACAAGGCTCCCAGAACTGGACAGATCCAGGTCTGAGCTCAGCTTGGCCTCTTACCAGCCGTGTGCCCTTGGGCAAGTTACTTCTGCACATCTCTAACCCGCAAAAAAACAGCCCTATAAGGCTGGAAATATTTTCTAGTATTAAATGTAAAGCCCTGAGCACAGCTCTGGCACGGGCAACACGGGCTGGGTGAAGGAAGAGACACACCCACGGCCACCAGGCAGAGGCTGTTTTTGCTTGCTGCTGTTGGCTGGCTTTGCGGGCTGCGATTGTGCCAGCTCTGTGGAAATGAGGTGCTGTGACGAGGACAGCCACCGCATACAGCGCCTCCTGGGCACCTAGTGGGGTTCTAAGAGCTCCCCAACCGGGTACCACGTACTCCCCACAACCGCCAGGGCTCAGAGCTCTTGCTCTTAGCCTGACTCCTACTGTGCCATCAGAAGTAAGGCCTGGAAAACATAAATGGGAAGAAGGGACAAACCCTCCCTGCAGAAGAATTCCAGCTGATAAATATACAAGGAACTTGAGAACAGAAAACCACCACGAGGACAGCACAGTCACGGTGGAGGCAGGAGGCACTGCTGGACACTAAGGTCAGCGGGCACAACCTTGAGGACTGACAGGTACTGCGCACCCTGCAGGGCTCGCCCCCTAAATATTTATTAACTGTTGTGGTGGTTTAAACAAACTTTCTGAGACACTCTTCACCCTAGGAGGTGGCGCTTAATTCCCTGCCCCCGGGAGGAAAGGCTGGCCTTGGTGACTGACTCCCTGTTAACAGGCGGAGAAAGGAACAGCAGAACGTCACAGGGCAGGAACCTGGCCACGCAGACTGGCACCTGTCATGCTGCAATGAGAAGGGCACTTTCCCTGTGTGTTCGTTCCCCAAACCCGTAACATATGAAATATCCATCTAAACCACTTAGTATGGTGCCTGGCACATAGTGGGAACTCACTAGTTGTTTGCTTTTGTTGCTCTGACAAGCTGACACTCCTCAACAGCTAACAACTGTTGAAACGTGCTGTGGTTCACAGGGAGTGTGAGCCACACTAATCATGAGAAAACAGCAGGCAGAACCAAATCGAGAGATTTCCTGTAAAATGTCTGACCAGTATTCATCAGATTTATAAAGTATTATCAAAATCATAAAGGTCATATAAGACAAGGAGAGATCAACAAACCATCACAAATCTAGGCTTGTAGAGTAAATGAGTTCACCAAGGTAGCAAGATACAAGATTAATATAAATCAATTATTTTATAATTATTCACAAGTACATTAATAGAAAAATCCACTGTATTTTTATACACAAGCTCCATGTAAAGACTACTCACTCCCGACCCAGAGAGGGCCAGGCAATGATGGAACCTTCTCCTTATCACCGAGACAAGCCAGGGCCCACTCAACTCACATGAAGTGATCTGGACCACGTCAACCTATTTATAACCAGTGAGGTGCCAGTCATTGTTTCTAAGCAGACTACTTGCATCTTTCATTTTAACCTGCTTGAAGGCTGAGAAAAGCCACGCAGTTACACCCAAAATGACATGTCATCCCTACTCTGCAAGCTCCCACTGAAGACGGTGTTAACCAAACTCTTCTAAATTTCTGTGTCCATCTTCACCATTTCCTAAGAACCCTATTCTATACAGGTAGAGAAAATGCCAGCTCCAATGTCCTGGTGGTTATCTGCTTCGTGTCTTAGAATGCTGTGGGTTTCTAAATGGCTCAATGCTTTGTTTAATGAAAAAAAAAATTATAAGTATGACACTTATAGAATTCTCTGAATTTTATGATTTATATTTTGTTTTTATTAGAGATGAGGTCTCACCATGTTGCCCAACCTGGACTCGAACTCCTGGGTTCAAGGGATCCTCCTGCCTCAGTCTCCTAAGCAGCTGGGACTAACAAGTGTGTGCCGCCACGCCCGGATCCATCATTTGTATGATTTGTAATTGTATAATTGCATCTCATTTGTGCTTCTTGCCAGCGAACAGCTGGTAGACCTGAACAAGACTGTAGACAACAGTGCCATGCAAATGTGAATGTCCAGGGTCTAACCGTGCTGTGCTTATGTAACAGGATTTCTCTGCTCTTCCAAAGTACACACTGAAGCTTTTAGGGGTGAAGGGGCAAGAAGGCTGAAACCCATTTTCAAATGGTTCAGAGAAAAAATGAATTTATACAAAAAGACAAAATGACCTAATGAATGTGTTAAAACGTTTAAAATCTGGGGAATCTAGATGAAAGGTATATGAGAATTCTTTGCATTATTCTTGCAAACTTTGTAAGAGTCTGAAGTCATGTAAAATAAAGTTTTCAAAAAATCACTTAAATATGGCTGACATGTAGAAGTGAAGTCAGTTATGAAATTTCATAGACACAAATGGTCCTTGCAGCCACCCACACGCCTGTGGACTAGTCAGGGTTCTCTAGAGAAACAGAGCCAACTGTAAGGTTTGTGTATAGAGAGTCTTAAGAAGTTGGCTCACAACTGTGGAGGTGCAAGTCCACAACCTGCAGGGTGGGCGGGCCTGCTGGAGACCCGGGCCAGTGGCGGATCCAGCCCACAGGCAGCTGGCTGCAGATTTGTTCTGTAAGATCCTCAACTGATTGGAGGCGGTAATATTGTGATACGATAAGACATACATATTTGCTCTTCCTGGCTAGAGCTCCTAAAGCCCTTGTAATTCCTATGTGATAAGAGCAATGAAGATGGCAAGAATGTCTTTTGTTATTTATAACAAGCGCCTTTCACTCATACAAGATATATGTTAATGAAATGACTTTGAAAAGCCCCTAAGAATGGTGGCTGGCTGCCAGGGGAACCAACCTTGTAACCAGAAGCTTGGAACTCTCAGGCCCACCCCTTCTACCTCCAGGGAAGGGAGGGGGCTGGAGGTCGAGTTAACCACCAATGAATGGCCAATGATTTAATCAATCGTGCCTAGGTAGTGAAACCTCCATAAGATCCCCAACAGAAGGGGTCCAAAGGGCTTCACCGGTCAGTGAACACGTGGAGGTGCCGGGAGTGTGGTGCCCACAGGGAGCAAGGAAGCCCCCAAACTCCCCCCATACCTTGCCCCCCATACCTTGCCCTACGAGGCCCTGACACACGACTGTCCTCTGAGGTGGGGCAGCCTTGTGGGACTGTGCCCTTGACCTCCGGGACCCGAGGTTAACTCCATGTAGACATTGTCAGGATTGAACTGAGTTGCAGGGCACCCAGTCAGTGTCCACTGAGAACTGACTGGTGTGGGGGAAAAACCTACACAGAGGCCAATCACATGCAGAATGATGCTACTACATGGGCACCGTGGCCTGGCCAAGTTGACATATCAAATTAGCCACCACAGCCTGTAAGAGCAGAGGCCAGACTGTCTTCTACAGAGACTAATGGCACACACACTGGTAGGCTTCTCAATCTGATAAAATGATGGCTTAACCCTGCCTTCAGGCAGCTACCTGCCAGGGTAACTGGCAACACAAAACAGATGCCTGTCATCCACTTCTGGCCAGAGAACTAACTTTGAGCTCTCTGCTGTCAGGGCGCCTGCCCAGGGATGCAAGGTCAACTTCATGTATACAAGGGGAAACACCAGGGCAACCGGGAGTGCTAACAAGATTCCATCGGCTGGTTCTACCACTAATTAAAACAGAACCCCAGAAGTGAGGATCACGGGCAGCTGGGGCTGCACAACACAGGTCCCAATCATCTCCCTTCAACCCTTGGGTCCAGCCAAACCGAAAGATTAATTGTATTCGCTGTGATTATCGTATTAGGAATATTTAGGACAACAGTCTGGGCTCCGTGGTAGAGCTGCTTTTCCTTAATCTACCACTGCAGTCCCGCAAAGAGCTTACAGGAACAAGCCACAGAAAACTGATTAATCCATATCCACTGCAGCGTGCAGCGTGCAGCGGTCAGCTGTCCCCCACATTGTACAACTGCTTTACGAAGACCCACAGAATAAATCACACACTTGCCCATTCTGGACATCATAGCAGGGACCCTCTGACTCCCAAAACTGGGCATGATCTACTTTGGCTGCTAGGACTTCCAGTCTGCCCTGTGTGTCCTGACCTTCCACCTGAATTTAACCCCTGCTCCTGCCCTTACTGCCCCACCTCAACTCTCTCTGAGGCCTTCTACTCATTTGAAACTTTTGTGCTACATCTTACAATGTCAATATAAAATGGAAACATTTTACAAGCAAATACAAAACCGTAACATTTTAGAATGGCAAAGGACCTCAGGAATAGATTACTAACTCAATTCCCTCATTTTAAAGACGAAAAAACTGAGGCCGTGAAAGGTTAAGAAATCCCCCCAAGCCCTCGGCGGCACAGACTGAACAGTAAAGCCAGGTCTAAGAGAAACCTGCCCTCTTATGCAGCCCTCTCCCTGCCCAGCACAGCCCCAGGCTCTGTACTTCTCAGGCGACCTTACTCTCCCCCTTGCCAGGGCTTGTTTGTTTCATGAATCCATAAGGCACCTCTAAAACCGAGCACTGCCTCTTGCCAAGCACAAACCCCTCAATTTTAGCCAGATTTTTTGACTTGCTGATTTGCCGGGCAGGTTGCTTGAAAAACCTTCCTCTGAGCACTCCAAGTTTCTGTTGTTTCTGCTGTTTACCAAAAACAAAGCACTGAGAGTTATGAAACAATAGGTTCAGCAAGAGATGATTTTATGCAATAAAAACAAGTGTTTCTATCAGTACAGAAAAAAACGATGTAGAACACGAAATGTTTATAGCATTTACAATGTTATTACCAGCAGGTGAGATAACAGCTAATTTTTTTCCTTCTGGCTTCTGTTCTCTAATTTTTCCTCCAGTACTTACAATAAAAGCATTCTATTTTATTTACAGCTATCGAGTGTCACTCTACCACAGTCGGCGGGTGCTGGTGCACATCCCTGAGGCCATTTCCAGGGCTGAGGTTTACTGAGAAACCACCTCCCCTCCGTGGCTCTGGAGGGCTGGTTTCTGGTCCATTTCCAGCAAACACGTCATTTTTCCAGAGAAAGGACTACAAGCTAATTTTCATCATGAATCAGCCAAAAAAGCATTTAAATTCCAATTTTCCACTTTTACGAGGCCTTCTTATCCAGAATAGGCAAACAGCCTTCCATTACAGGTTGCGTGGCTTCTTTAAGACAAAGGTTTCCACCTGGAGCCACCACAGTGGACAATAAAACAGACCTCTCTCAGAGGATCAGAAAACCTGTTTTGTTAGAGGCACTAATTCTGATCATGAAGGTCATTTCTGTGATCCCTGAGCACATCACCGGCCTCTCCAGAATCTAATTATGTACAAATACTCTAACGGAAACCCTAAGGTGTTGAGCTGTGTCCCGGTTTAGCTCCAGGGAGATGCCCTTGAATGTGCAGGCAAAGCTGCACACTCGTCATCCTCGGCTGGACGATAAAAATGATGCTGTGCATCAGAGCTCTTCCAACAGCAGGGAATTCTGGGGGAGCCACTGCTTCTTGGCTGATTTCCCTGGCAAAGTCATCCCAAGCCCTTGTTATAACCTGTTTTGGCCATTTGGTGCCATTTCTTTCTACGTTGTTTTGCATACTAAATATGAAGCGGCTCCCATGGTATTCTAACAAATCTGTCCTGTTTACCATCTCTATTTCCGAAAAAAGAGTACCCCAAAATTAGTTTGGAAAAGCAATCAATCTCACTCTTAGCAATTACTGTGTTAAGTATATCTTAACACTCTACAAAAATACTTTAAAATGTCAAGAACAAAGTAACTGCCCAAGCCTGGGCACGGTGGCTCACGCCTGTAATCCTAGCACACTGGGACACCGAGGCAGAAGAATCTTTTGAGCTCAGGAGTTCGCTTGAGCTCAGAAGTTGGAGATCAACTTGGGCAAGAGCGAGACCCATCTCTACTAAAAATAGAAAAAATTGGCTGGGTGCAATGGCGCTTGCCTACAGTCCCAGCTACTGGGGAGGCTGTGGCAGGAGGATTGCCAGAGCCCAGGAGTTTGAGGTTGCAGTGAGCTATGACAGCCACTGCACTCTAGCTAGGTGACAGAGTGAAGACTTTGTCTCCAGAAAGAAAAATCAACTGCCCAGTGCCCAGGTGTAGACTGCAAACGAAATCTTTACAAACTGGCTTCAGGCCTGCAAGTGTGTTCTTCCCTCACCAGTTTCATTCTACCTTAGTATAGGAGAAAGACAAATTCTCTGTTGTCTAGAGCAAAATGAAACCAGCAACAGGGGGCTGTCCAAGACTGTCGAAACCAGCCTGAGCCTGACCACCCATATTTATTGACTTTGTAAAGTTGTTTATGAGCAAAAAAGGTACAAATGTTTATGAATGAAACGGAAAAGCCACAAAATTGTACATGCAACATGTATTCCTTTTTTTAAATGTGCATGCATATTTAGGAATACAAAAAGATCAGGAAGGACATACACCTACATTTTAACATGATTAGGAGTAATGGGGGATTATCAGCGACTTTTCTTCAATGTATTTTTCTATTGCAAACACATTTTTGCAAAATATAAAAAGAAGTGATGATTATTAAAACAATCTCCATGAACTTTAGCCAAGTAAATTTCTCCAAGAAGGTGCCTTCTGAAGCCAGGACCTTCTGAAGAGATGCAGACAGAGAGACATCTCTGGCCTTAGGACCCCTGGGGTTTTAAGCAGGCGTCTTTAATGATTTCCTTCCCCTCAGCCTAGACCCAAAAAGCTACTCAATTCCCTGCAGATTATTGAACTCACTCCGTTCCAACCCATAAAACTGTCCAGGCCTGGTTCTAGTCCCCTGCTCTCCCACACGCATTTGCAGGAAAACAAAAGGCCGGGACAGGGGTGTCGGGAGCACCGCCCGCAGCTATCACGGAAGTGCAGGGCTGGAAAGTCGCTGGAACTCTCGGCCGGATTCCCGGGCTCGGGCTCTGCGGGGACGGCGGACGCCCGCTCGCCCGGCGCTGGCTCCCCGCGAGGGTCCCGCGGTCTGCCCCGCGCACAGGGCGCCTCGACAACACCAACACTAGCACACACAAAGGTGAGGCGACGGGACCGGACTTCCGCCGGGGCCGGGCGCGGGGAGCACCCGGAGCACCGGGCCAGGCCAGGGCACAGCAGGCCGACCCCAGCGAGGGCGACCGCGCGGGGCACGCAGGCTGCGGGGCGGGGACGGCGGCCGCCCTCGAAGCCGCCGCACATCCCGCTCGCGCCGCCCTACGTGCGTCTTCCCGGGGAGGGCGCGTCGCCTGGCGCCGGTCCGGGGCCTGCGGCGGGGGCGGCGGCGCCTCACCTTGGGGTCGCGCTCGTAGTAGTGCTGCTGCGTGCGGATCCAGCGGCCCACCAGGTGGTCGCGCACCGTGTGCGCCAGCGCGAAGAAGTAGTCGCGGGGCGTGGCCACGTTGCGGTCCTTGACCAGCGTGAAGTGCAGGTGCCGGTTGAAGCTCTTCCGCACCTCGGCCACGTCGCCCAGCCCCGCGATCCCCCGCACGCTGATCTGCTTCCGCTTCTCGCTGTCCGTCAGCGGCTTCGCCATCGCGCCGGCCGAGGTGGCGGAGGACAGCGGCCGGACGCGCGGACGCCGCGGATGCTGCGGCGCTCTGGCGCGGGGGACTGCGGCGCGGGCCGGCTGCACGCCGCGCCTGCCGCTGCGGGGGGCGGGGCCTGCGCGGGGCGGGCCCCTGCGCGGCGGGGCCTGAGCGGCGGCCGGCGGGGGGCGTCCGTTTCTGGTTGGGCACGCCGCCGGCCGTGGGAGCTGCGGTGTCCGGGTGACCTGCCCACGCCTCCCGGAGCTGGGAGTTGCCCCCTCGCTGGCAAGGCAAGCGCCTGAGGTGGGGCGGGCGGCTTTGGAAACACCAGCTGAAAGAGGAAAAGTTAGTTTCCGCTGAGAAAGTGCCCATCTGCCCGCCAACCCGCAGACCCGGTGACAGGCGCGGGGAAAACCAGCGGCGAGTGAACCAGAGACTCTATTTCCCCCAAGGGCGTGACACACCCCAGTCCAGTGTCATCACGACCCCTCACTCTCTGAGAAGCCTCGCTGCCTAAATCACACGCCGGCAGGAATTAGGAGACATCCCCCTCTGGCAGGAGGAGCTCGGTCACTGACAGACTCAGCCTCCTCATCCCAGCGCAGGCTGGAGCGCCACATAGGGGCGTCTGGACAGACGCAGCCTCCCGCGTTTGCTCAACACCGTGGTCCCCCAGGAAACTGGGCGGGGTCCACTGTGCAGACCAGCCCCGCCGACCCCCTGCACACAGCCCTACTTGGCTCTGAGCCTGAGAGGACCCCTGCTTCATGTGACGTTCACCTAGATTCCACCCTCCCCAACCCTGTAAGAATCTGCCTTTTCCTTTGACCTTGGGACGGTCCCCTCATTGCAATGGGTCAGTAAGCCCATTTGTGGTACTATGGTTTTGCTCCTGGTGGTCTTGGGCTGAATGGGGCTGCAAAGGTTGCCCACAGGAGATGTCATAAAAGTCCAGGTGCAGTAGTTTTCCTGGTGTGATGCTTTCAAAGTTATCTTCTTACCTGGAGACCCTTCCAGCTGCAAAACTTCTCAGGGTGCAATAAATCTGGAATCTGGCCCCCCATGGCCCACCCAGCTCCAGCTCTGGGATTCACTCCTGCACTATATCCTAGAGATTCTGGAGCCAGCAAGATGGAATTGCAGGCACTGATAGCAGTGCCGTGGGGGCCAAGCTTAGTTGGAAGCTCTGTAGACTGACATCATCTGAGAGTGATCTGGCAAATCAGGAGAAGTCATAAAAATGTGCCCTAGGACCACTTGTACCACTCCGAGGAACAGATTTCAGGGAAAGCTTCAAAAGGAAAAAAAAAAAAAAATGAGCTATACAAAAATGTTTTCTGCTGTGATATAGGTTAGAATTAAAACCTTGTAAAGGTTCATCCCCCCAGCTGTGCTGCACACTGAGCTGACACCTGTTGATGGTGACTGTGTGCTGTACCTGATAAACTCAATCCCCACAACAGCCTTTAATGACCCCCACTTTACGATGCCAAAGGTGAGCCACAGAGAAGTGAAAACATCTCCCTAAACTCACATAGCTGATAAGGGAAACCCTCAACAGTCATTCCTGTCCCACCCCGCCACGTCCTGCTCCGCTGCACAAGCCCCAACGGATCTGCATTCACAAAGTCAATATCATAAACCATTGTGTTGCTAAAGGAAATGACAATTTTAATAGCTAAGACAGTGTAAAGGATGATGCAATACTGATAAAAGAAAAGACAGAAATAAGAAAGATGTAATGCAGAAATGACAGTAATGATTTAAACTTTATTTCATTTAAATTAATTTAAATTTAAATAATCACTTGTGGCTAGAGATTGCTGTGTTGGAAACACAGGTTTATACCAAAACATAAGCACTGGTTATTTCTGAGTGGCAGAATTATTAGGGGGTTTCTTTTTTTTTTTTTAAAATTACTCTTCTTTAAATTTATAAAATTTACTTCTTCTTCTTTTTCCACATCCACATCAACATTTATAGGGGGTTTCTTTATTTTCCTTATACATTTTGTATTTCCTGTTTTTTTCCACAATATTTCCTGTATAATTAGCATAAGTCTCAGTAAGGAAAATCAGCGGCTGTAGACTGTATTAATGATTGCTGATTTAAGGACTGCATGTTTTCTTACTGGATTGACTTTTATTTCTTGCTCTGTTACTCTGGTTAAATAAATTTTAAGTCCTTCTTTCCATCTTTCATAGCTACACTTTCTTTATGAAATTTTCCGTGGTCCTGGCAAAGATTTTTTTGCTTGACCAAACTTTAGTCTGGCTTCGGAACCTTCTTCTTCTAGGTCCATCTGTGCACTTCCTTGTAAAATCCAGTTTTATCAAGAACCCTAAGTCAGTTTAACAGGAACCTCTCGTCCGAGATATCTGATCAGATTCCTCATCCTTTTAGTTGGGTTAGCCAGGATCCCCGAACCCCTGATGTGTCCTCTTGGTAATTTTCCATCCACTGACCCCCACCTTGCTCCTTGGCTATAAATTCCCACTGCCCATGCCATATTTGGAGCTGAGCCTGATCTTTCTTCCCCGCTGCAAGACCCCACTGCAGTGGTCCCTGTATCTACCAAGATGGTCCTGAATAAAGTCTTCCTCACTGTATGTACTTTAACATGTATCATCGAATTTTGCTGTAACAATCCTCCCACTCAGATGTAATTTCTTCTTTTTGAGAACTCTCATGATCCTCTCCCCTCGGCACGTGGCACAATACCGAATCTTCCTTACCAGTGCGATTGAAGAAGGGAGGAGCCTTTTTGCCATTATGCCCCCTCACTTCCCCCCTGGCCACTAATATTGCTGGAATGGCTAAATGAACACCAAAATTATCTCAGCTATTTTCAAATAAATAATTTTTAGATAGTTATAAATGTGAAGAAAAGCACATTTGAGCTGAGACCAAAAAAAAAAAAAAATGAATGAACGAACTAATGAATCAATGAATGAATGAAACTGGGGAACATCAAGTGCAAAGGCCCTGAGGTGGGCACCAACTGGGACAGTTCACAGAAGAGGCAACTGAGGGATACCAGATTATGCCACTCGAAAATTTTAGCATGTGGATTACTTTGAACTAACAGCCATTGAGATCTAGCAGACACAGGAAAAGCTCTAAAAACAGAGCAGAAATTTTTATTTTATAAAGGAAATTCACATTTATTATAAAGGAAATTTCCATAAGGTGTGTTTCCCTCCATATAAGGGAGGGGAGAACTGGTAACAGCTTTTACCAATGGAGAAGGCAGTGGCTTAAATCTGCATAACAAACCTTCCGAAACAACTCCTGTTTACCACACTTTTCCTGGTCACCTTCTGCTATGGTGAATGTCCCCTCCAAAATTCATGTTGAAATTTAATTGCCATTGTGACCATATGATCTCTCTCTCCTTTTCCCTTCCGCCTTCCTTCCATGGGATGATATAGCACAAAGTTCCTCACCACATGCCAGTGCCACACTCTTGGACTTCCCAGCCTTCAGAACAGTGAGCCAAATAAAATTTTATTCTTTTTAAATTGCCCAGTCTGTGGGATTCTGCTATGGCAACCCCAAATGGACTAGACACCTCCCCATAACTTGCCTCCCCTGCCCAGAAGCCTCAACCCCTTTTTTCTTTGGGTTATCCTAAGAAGATATATGAACCAGAGCTCTGACCACACCTTGAGTTCCGCATCTCTGGGGCCTCCCAGGTGTAAGTGCAATGCAGATGCTAATGAATGAATGAATGAATGTTCTGCTTGTTTTTCTTTTGTTGATCTGCCTTTGCCCAGCCTCATTTCTAGGGCCCCTGGCTGGAAAAGCTAACGTTGGCAGGGGAAGAGATTTTTTCCTCCCCTATACAACCAACAATGGGATTCAGACGAAGGTGGGAGCCAGGTCAAAGGGCGGGGTCCGCCATGGTGAGGAATCTGGCTCTCATCTTCCATTTTAACAGCAGAACTGTAGGGTTTCAGAACACACAAAATGGAAGGAAACTGGGCGCTGCTTTTCTTTTCTATAAAGCTGAAAAGCAGTTTTGCCCTCCAAGAGAAGGGACTGTCCTGGCAGCCAGAGCCCCTGCTCGCCTTGGCGACAGGGATCCCTGTTCTAGCCAGGCTCTCTATGATCTTTCTTCTTTTTTGGGGAGACCATTTTAAAAATTCATTTACTAAGAAGTGATGGATGTTGGTTCAGGATCCGTTACTGTTGTAGTGAGCCATTCTGTGTTGTTGGAGATAATAAGTTACCTTTAAAGTTCTTTGAAACAGGTATTTCGGGTTCTATCTGCAGCTAGCTCCCTGCCTCAGAAACAGAGATGAAAGATGTCTTGCGAGTGGCATGAAATGCTGCAGGAGTTAGAAGACACTGGAAAGCAGACATTTTTGGTCTGCTAGGCTTAAGCTTCTTGAGGACCTGGAGTGTCTCATCGATCATAAGGGCTCAATAAATATTGGCTGGATGAGTGACTCAGAAGCCAGCCCCTGGTGACACCACAGGTGCAGAGGAAAAACTCTCTGGGATCCCGGCAACGCTGCTGGCTGGTCTGTTCTGGTCAATTAGATATTTGCAAAGGAACACAGACCCGGTCTTTCAGGAAATGGGAGGGAAATAACAAATGCATTATTTTTGAGAGGTTGGTAATTATAAAGCCCAGTAGAATAAAGACCACCAGCTGGAATGTCATTGTGGAATTGGGGCCCTCCCTCCACTGGGGTGTGTGAACAGATATCCTTAGTGACATTAATGTGTTTTAACACACTGATGTTAAAAGGAAGAATCCATGAGACCACAGAGGTACCAAAAGGAAATAAAATGGAGATGGGGGAAGCCGGCAGGAAGCTCCTCTTCAGAAGGAGGCCATGCAAATGCAGGAGAAGACAACGTTGGGGGAACAGGGCACCACGCAGTCAAAGCACCACCGCACAGATTACCTCCTGGGCTGTGGAGGGGAAGAGGCCTGTACAATGCCGAGACGCGCAGAGTCCACCCTCCTGATGGGATCTGACTCTGCATCGCCAACAGACAGACCCTTAGTAAGCTACGTGCTGATTCAGCGCACTGAGAGGGCCAAGCGTCACTCAACCCGTTACAATATAATATAGCATAAAAACACAGGAC